CGACGACGGCGTGGCGTGCCGGATCCCCATGTCTAACGACGCGCTCTGGTGCATCTCTTCCCACAACGACGGGTGGCTGATGCACATGGACGTGTTCAAGCCTTGCATCATGGCATGCGATAATCGTCACTTCCTCAAGAACTCCTTCTCCAACGCGACCATCGACATCCCCTGCCGCTTTGATCGGCCCATCAACGCCTTCGTCGTTGACAACCGTTACAGCACGTGGCCCGAGAGGTTCACCTTGCACAAGATCATCGTGTGCTCGCCGGACCTCATCGTCGCCGCCTCCCGCCTTATCGATAACAACATCGTCTCTTTCAGGCCGGGCATTGACACATCATGGTCAGTTCTTCCATATGATGATGATGATGGTGATCACAAGAGAATGTACGAGGACATCGCCTTGTACCGCGGCAAGCTCTACGCCCTTACTAGCAACGGGGATCTTCTTGTCCATGAGATCAGAGATAACAACACATTGTCTCGTGCTGAGCTTGTGATTAGGGGCGCCGCAGCAGAGCCTCCATTGTCGCATCTTCAATGGCAATATAGCATCGATGACATAGTACACCAGTACCGTGTTATTTCATGCAAGTACCTTGTTATTTCATGCAGTGGCACTCTGTTGATGTTCAGGTGTACTATTTCTCCCATGTTGGGCACTTCAGCAAATGTGGACGATTATGAAATCAAGTTCAAGGTGTTTGAGGCGGATTTGGAGGGTGGCCAGTGGTTAGAGGTGAAAAGCTTGGATGGTCAGGTCGTCTTCCTCAGAAGCTTGCTCCAAGGCGATCCTCTCTTTTGATCACGGCGACCCGAGATTCGGAGGAAATTGCATCTTCTTTTTGGGAGGTGATTTGACCAGGCAGTGGGGTGATATCCATACCAGAATTACCAACAGCTATGTGTATCAGCAAAAGGAAGGGATTCCCATGTATGGTGTGTATGACTTCAGGACCAGCAAAATTAGCTTAAGTACCCTAGGGCAACACAGATTTTCATCAATGGTACAATGGTTTTTTCCACGCATGTAAGAACTTATACACACATGCATATGCTATTAAAACAATATTAGCTAGCTAGCTAGTTTTAATTGTGTCCCCTGTTTCTAAGACTCTTCAAGGTTTCCTTAATTTGATTGTATAGAAATGTACGGATTTGGTTGTTTTCAAGTGATATGATTGTTTTCCAGAGTCCACTATACCTGATTTCTCCACCATGTGTCCACTGAAATTGTCCAGTGAACGGTTCGTATTTTCCAATCCTATTCAAACTACAAACAACGCACGCGTGAAAATAACTTTTTAAGGATACGATGGGTTAGATGCCAACCCGGCTGATAGGCAACCCGGCCAACCACTATCAATCTCACCCTGAACCAACCAAATCATGATAGGCAAGCCAGCCAACCACTACCAATCTCTACCTGGTCGGAACTATTCCCAGCAGAGGTCCCAACACATATATAGTGTGATTGCTCCTCGTTTGATCAGCACTCGGGGGCCACTGTCAGTATATAAAATATGGCATACCCACACAATGGTGGAAAATGCCAAATACTCATATAGAATACATATAGTTCTACTAGAAGGTGTTACAAAAGTTAGTTGATATAGCGAAACGACAGCTAACTCTCTCGATCACTTCAGTCATTGATCACCTAAGACATGCCAGATGACGGCACATGAACACACAATATTTGTTAACGAAGTTCAAACGAAGCCTACATCTCCGGGGCTTTGATTATGGGCGCTCCTTCCCAATCAATATATTTTCTAGCCGCTACGAGTCCATGGCTTCTCCGCCATCATCTCTCTGCGTGTCAACGCTACATTGTAGTCTCACATTGGGCCTGCTCCAACACATGCCCAATCTTTAAGAGAGGTCTCATTGGGCCTGCTCCACCATATGCCCAATCGGAGCCTCAACTTTAGATCCTTGGTCTACACAACCCAAAAGACTAGTCTAGGCTCTAATACCACTTGTTACTGCGCAGCCCGGCCCACCAATCATGGCTACCCAGGTCACATTGGCCCTACTCTACCACAAGCCCAACCGGAGCCACAACTTTAGGTCCTACGTCTACACAACCCAAAAGACTAGTTTGATGGGTGAGGACTGCCCTCACCTTTTAAGTCGTACTCCCCCATCATTAATCACCGATGTGGGACTAAACGCAATAAGAGGATTACCCAAATGAGGATATTATCCTGAATTGATAAGGAATATGACACCAACTCCACCAGGATCATGCAGACCTAATCAGACTCAACTAGTACTATACAAAAGTATTAATATCTCTATGGGTACTCCACCGGTGGATCTACTATTGTTTCACCGAAGTTAATGACACCAACGACACCAGGTAAGATTACGATGTCCGACTAAACCGATGTGTTCCTCAGCATATCGTTGGTGGTGACCCCACCAACCTGAACTTGTTGACCCTAGTACGTTAAACTAACACCTATCATGACTTCATGAGCTAAATGCTCAAACAAACTAGCCTTGTTATAAGGCCATGCCCAACGCGTAGTCTCAAGCCTGTGGTTCTAGCCTATAACTTGGCTCGAATGCCATGGTGGAGGTTTGGGAGGGGCTACATTTGTGTCAGAGTTACCTGCAGGAGCCATAGTGGTTTGAGGAGAAAAGGAGGAAAATTGTGGTCTAGTTAGCAGCCATCCAAAGAGAAAGTGGGAGAGAGAGTGTGCCTCGTCATCGTTAGCTACCACCACCATCAACCGATGTTGACCTCGACGACCACGCCAGAGCAGGAGAGGAGAGTGAGGGCGCCACTGTAAGCAAATCCGCCCGGAGCTCGCCACCTGATCTATGCCTGCTGCAAGGAGCTTGTTGGTCGCGCCGTCATTGGGAGCTCGTCCTCCTGCCGCCTTGGCACGGTCTCCCGACGAAAAGGGGAGGAAAGGAGGCCCGCCACCTCAATCTGGTCGATAGGGTGGGAAGGCTTGCGAGCGCGATGGCCGGGAAAAGGAAGATGGGAGAAGCATAGGTGGGGAGAGGGGAGAGGCTGGGAGCTCTCGGATAGGGGAAGAAGAGAATGAGATGGTGCTCAGATGGGGAAGAGATGCGGCATCGCGTTTAGTGTGGGAGAGAGGCGAATCGGTGAGAGAGATGGGGGATGGGGTGGATGGAAAAATATTAGTGGAGTGGTTGACAGGTGGGTCATTAGGAGGTAAAGTACATGAGTATTTTTTTTTGGTTGCCATAGGGGCCCAAAACATAAAAGTTTCATCGGATTTGATAATAATAAATATTTCAAGGGTTGACATACAAGTAACCAGGAATCAAAATACAAAAACAGTTGGGGGTGGCTTACGATAAAAACGGTCGGAAACGATCGAAAAACAATCTCAACCATTTCCATAACCATATTTTTCTTGGAAACAAAATCGAAAACGGTAAAGTCGGAAACGAAAACGATATCGGAAAACCGGAAATGGAACAATATGGACGGAAACATGTCGGTACAGATCGGAAACCGGTAACAAATACGAAAACATTAAACTATAAAAACGTATATTTAACTTTACATAAGTATGTTATATGTATAAATAAATTCAAGCTTATACAATTATACTATATAAATTATAAGTTAACTCCATTTTAGCCATGCACTCAAGTTAGGGATTTAATGGAAGAGTCAATCAATCTCTAAATTGTGGGTCAAGTAGAGACATGCCCTAAAAATATCAGCATATTTAGAAATACGGTAATTACCATATTATAAGAAACTGTAATTTCTACAAGAATACGGTAAATACATAAACAATCGGTATAACAGCAAAACCATTTCCGTTTTCGTTTCCATATTTTTCACCATTTTCATTTTCGTTTTGGTCTATTACTATTTTCATATGGCTCGGCCGGTAGAAAGTCAGAAACGAACGTCAATCGGCTAGAAATTACCATTACCATTTTCACCCCTAGTGTGACCTCCATTGTGGAAGGTGTGGCCTATATTTGGTTTCAGCCCATATAGCCCACATGAGACCACTACGATCATGTGGCCTCCAACCTCCATGGACCATGCTCTAAGTACTTGGCACATTTCCAAAAGCTTTGTTATGGTGTTGTCACCCGCCATCGTCCCAGTGCCCATTGACATATTTGATTAGTTAACAAATTAGCTATTTTAGCTATGCAGTAGTTTATCTATGCAATTATACTAGTAATTCCGCCATGTAGGTTATACTCCCTTCGTGATCATCTCCTGTCGTCCAGGTTTGTAGCCGGCCAGAAGTTGATTCATTTTGTGGCAGGGGAGTAAAAACAACTTTGCCGTGTTGCTTTTGTGGGCAAAATAATTAAGTGTGATTAACCCTATTTTTATATGGCTTTGGACCATAAATTATTGCTGAATATTATAGTTTATAGTCCAAATTAAAGTGGTTCAAACATTTATGTTTCCTCACTGAAACAATCCACTCGGGGCTCTAGCTGGAAAATAAATAAATTTCAAGATATTTAGCCCAAAAAATTATTGCGATTAGAGCCCTACAGAACACCAGGTCAGAATAGGGTTCACATCGTCTGCCGTTCAGGCTGACGGCAAACATTGCCGTTGCCTTCATCCATGCCACACATCCTTCTATCAACAGTTGCATGCAGTGGTCCCACCATTGTGATTAATTAGGGACTACTAATAAGAAGAATCACTTATTTCTCTTCCAAAAAAAAATCAGCAAATAGAATCTCGGCGGTAAAGTGCGCGAGAACAAAAGCAGAGCAGAGGGAAGCTCTTGCTTTTTGGCGCCAAGAATATGGATCGACTGACAGAACAGAAGCAGAGCATAGTACAACAGAGCAAAATACTACAGCAAAACAAGCTTCTGTACTAAGAAGCTATCCAAATACTTGAACAATAGTACATGTCTTATAAAATATTTAAGTATTCATTTGACAAAAACAGCATTGCCGCACTACTACTATGTCCCATATAGAGTATTTTTCATTCAAAAACTAGCAGTGAAATGAAGCTACTGATGAAATCCTTCAGAATATAACTCATATCCATCTGAATCACCCTGCAAATTTATAAACTGATATAAGTTAAAAAATTGGAATTTATCAAATCTTAAAAAACAAAAGTCAGGGTTAGCATACCGCCAGTAGCTGGGTATAGCTACCCAAAAATTCAAAATCCTGGTGAGATTCTTTTGTACTATTCTCCAATATGTCCTCTTCTAATGGCTCAGGATGTGCTACTTCATTCCCATTCTTAGCCTGTCAGTGGACCGTGGTTACCTAAATTGTGATTTACAACAGAATAACTAATGAACGTTTAATTTCATTTATTTTTTCTTTTTAGCATACATACATACCTTAGGCTTTTCTTTCTTTTTTTATGTAGCTTGTCAACCCAATTCTTCTTTCGCTTCGATGTGCTACACCGGGTCTCTTTTTTCTTTAGGCCAATAGCTTGGGAGACATTTTCAGGTATCTCAAACTCTGTCTCTAAATTCGACTGAATATTTGTATTCACTTCTACCATTTGTTCCACTTGCTGTCCAAGGGTTTCAAGAGCATTATCAACAAACGCAAAGCACTCTTCAAAATCTGCAGCCTGAGACGCCAAACTGATAAATTTGTGTGAAAGAAACTTATATCAACGTGAAGCGTCTAGTTTAGGATTTTCTAGGACATGTCTTCCAGATATATCATGGACAACCCCATGACGCGCCTCTCGTGTCCATCTCTTGAGAACATAATGATCTGGTAATTGCTTAATATTCATCACATCAAGAATCTTCAATGCATGGCTGCAAAGTATTCCTACCCTCTCAAACTGTCGACAATCACATGACACCATACTCTCTTGATGATTTCCAACAACCATATACTCTTCTTCAATTGTACAATCATCATCTAGAGATCTTATCCCAACAATATATGCCCTGCCCTCATCCAATACTTTTGTATAAGCTGTCATCGATCTTTCATATTCTTTCTGAAAGGCCTAAAAAATCTGCGGGGTGTAGAGCTTACTTGTTTGCAATAGCATAGGAATTCTCATTAAGATGCGTGGCAATTTTTTCCTGGATTCATACTCTGATTTGATCTCTTTATCTCGCTTCCCTTGTACAACTCTGTCAAAGTGGTGGAAAAAGCGTACAATGTTTAATTCACAATTTAAATACTCCTTCAAATCACTGTTCAGTCCCTCGCTCAATTGAGTGCTTCGCATTCCTAATGTGTATGCATTCTTCATAAAGCATTCAGCCCACTTCTCTTTCAACTTATAAACACTATCCAACCATGTCCCTTTGCGAACTTTTGTCCTCATATCAGCAAAGACTTCCTCAAATTTTTCCACATCCTCATGTTCACACATGCAAGCACTAAAATCAGCAAGGACATTAGAGCCATCACTAGTCTTCTGACGATTTATATGTTTGTTTGCATTTTGCATTATGTGAAAAGTGCATAAGCCATGCCGAGTTTCTGTAAATACCTCTGTGATAGCCTTTCCCATAGCAACATCCTGATCGGTATAAATAGTTTGTGGATGCTTGTGATTGTGGCATGACAAAAAGGCGTCAAAAAGCCAACAGAATGAGTCACAAGTCTCATCATACATGAGAGCAGCACCAAAAACTACAGTTTCTCTAAAGTGGTTAAATCCAACAAATACACCAAATGGCCAGCTTTCTTTATTTGTCCCAAAGGTTGTATCGAAGGTAACAACATCACCAAAGTGAGCATAATCTATAATCATCTCTGCCCAAAAGATATTTGTTATTTGTTCCTCACTATCCAATTTCACAGCATAATGAAATGAAGGATTATCTATGGCCTTATTCTTAAAATAATTCAACAAGCTCCCAGCCTCACCATATTTCAACTCCTTTTGACGTTTAGTTCGCAAATAATTTTGCTGATCAAGACAAGTGTAGCCAAGATTAGATGACCCACCAACATGTCGGGCAGCCAACTCATGAGCGATTCTGGGCTGAATACTAGTGTCATCTGCCATTTCAATTTCAAAGGCTTGCACTTCAGTTATTTTGCGCTGAGATGGCATTAAGTGAGAAGTTTCTGGCGTTTGCAGTATGTGATTGTGCATGACTTCCAGATCAGATATCTCATACTTTTCGTTTACTCGATTGAGTGTAAGCCCCATGCGGACGTTGCATCCAATTCTCGTCTCAGCTCGAGGATGCTTAGTCAAATTATCTCTTTTATCCTTGCCTCGAAAACCTTGTTTGGAGCAAACAAATCTAGCTGATGTAGTTTTCTGTGTTACTTGATTTTTATTGTGATACTTCTTTCTAACATCAAAGCCCATCCGACCTCCATACGTGACCCAAAAATTCCATGCCTCCTCTGTATCACTGAATGCCATGCCAATCTGAGGAACCCAACTAGGTGCAGCTCTGAAAAAAAGATGTTTGTTGTATTCGTTTAACTGAATAATATCAACAAGAACTTTGATAAATCACGTTATAGAAGAAGTTAGTAAAATAGATCAAATTTGAACAACGCCACGGAGAAGTGTATAGGTGTAGATTAAAAACAAACGAAATTTTAGGCTTGATAAGATAAAAGTAGAAGACACTGTAGGAGAGATCAAACAAAGAGAAATTTGCCTGTATCGCTTACTCGTTCGATGCGACGGCAGAATCATTTGGCTGCTTCATAGATGAAGGATTTCCTTGTTCATGCTTTTCCTACTTCCTGTAGCCTGTAGGATCGTTTGGCTGCTCCATCAATACAGGATTTTGTTGTTTTGGTTCTTCTGTTTCTGGATGAATAGACATTTGGTGTCGATCCATATTCTTGGCGCCAAAAAGCAGGAGCTTCCCTCTGCTCTACTTTTGTTCTCGCGCGCTTTACCGCCGAGATTCTATTTGCTGATTTTTTTTTTTGAAGAGAAATAAGTGATTCTGCTAATTAGTAGTCCCTAATTAATCACAATGGTGGGACCACTGCATGCAACTGTTGATAGAAGGATGTGTGGCAGGGATGAAGGCAACGGCAATGTTTGCCGTCAGCCTGAACGGCAGACGATGTGAACCCATCAATGTTGTGGTGGTTTTTTTCATACATGTAAGAATTTATGGAAAAGCTAGTTGGCGAGCGTGGATTGGCGGCGCACATTTTTTCGGGAGAAGTTAGTATAACTAACCGTATTAGTTTTAGATAATGATAGTAATTAGATAAGATTTTCCTTTTTCCCGGTTGTTTTTTTAACTAACAGATTGAAAAGAAATCTATACGTGAAAGTTTAAAATTTAAAACTTTCTATTGAAAAATTAAAAGCAATACATAAAATTTATAACTTTCAACTCAAAATTTGAAACTCTAAACTCAACTTGAAATTTGAACTTTCATATTAAATTTGAAAACTTTCGACTCAAGATTTAAACTTTAAAATTTGAAATTTGAACAGTCAAAATTTAAAACTTTGAACTCAATCTTTGAAATCTCTCAACTCAAATTTTAAAACTTTCAATTTAAAATTTGAAAACTTTCAACTCGAGATTTGAAATTTTCAACTCAGATTTGAAAAATTTCAATTCAGATTTTAAAACTTTCAACTCAAAATTTGAAAATTTACAACTCTAGATTTGAAACTTTCTTCAGATTGGAAAACTTTTAAGTTAAAATTTGAAAACTTTTAACTCAATATATTTTGAAAACATGTGTGTTAACTATTAAAGAAATCAGAAAAAAAAAAGCGAAAAAAAGGTAAAACATGCTAGGGGAGGGGACGTGAAAAAAAAAGGAAAAAACAAAAAAGATGGCAGAAAAAAAAAAGAAAACGCGAAAAAGATGGCAAAAGAAAACGAAAACGCGTGCGCGCGCGCGCCAAATAGCAACCCCAAATGCACCTCGCATGGTTTATTTCTTTGTTTCTAAGCCTAAGTTACCAGGAATGTGGAACTCTGCCGCGTTCCTCATCTGGTGTTATTAAAACCTCAAAAGAGTAAGCATTCCGTGTGTTCTCCGATTGTTTTTGACATAGTCTAGACGCTTGGAAGTTTCAATTCTCCGATTGGTTTGAAGTTCGAGGATTTGGTTGTTTTGAAGTGAGAAAGGAGCTAACAGTACGAGTGATGATATGATACAGTGTTTTACGTTCATTCTTTCAAATGCAAATGGTTTAGGAGCATCCAGATTTTATATAGGACACCTAGATAGCAGTGAAGTTCGAGCAACGAGCATTTGCATCACAGTACACCGTTCCATCTTGAAGGACCAAATTTGGATCACAAAATAATCTGAATCGAATAGCACTGCTGCTTCCCAGAAAGAGAAGAGAAGCTAACTGAACAATTCCAATCGTGATCAGCAGCCTAGGATTAGAGAAAAGATCATGAGGAATTGCAGCAATGCTATAGCACTAACACCCCAAGACGCAAACATGTGTTTATCTTGCTGCAAACAACGAAAAAAGAAAACGAAATCAGAAAAAGTTCCATTGCCGGGATTTGAACCCGGGTCGCCTGGGTGAAAGCCAGGTATCCTAACCGGACTAGACGACAATGGAATTGTTGAACGTGGGATGTTCAATACTTTCATATATTATACTCCATCTGTCCCACGATATAAGAGATTTTAAGTTTTTGCTTACAACGTTTAACCACTCGTCTTATTCAATTTTTTTTTGCAAATATTAAAAATAAAAAGTTGTGCTTAAAATACTGTAGATAATAAATTAAGTCACAAATAAAATAAATAATAATTTTAAAAAATTTTGAATAAGACGAGTGGTCAAATGTTACAAGCAAAAACTCAAAATCCCTTATATTATGGGACGGAGGGAGTAAGTATTAGAATGCAAAAATCATGCTGCTCAAGGGTGCACCAGCTGCTTTTATCTTTTGTAGATCTTCTTTTTAAAGATCTACAAATTTGTAGTTGACTAATTTTTCATTTCAAATTATTTAGGCTCCAAAAATTATGCTTAAATTTCTTACATTTGAAATTCAAATTCTTCAAAGGACCTCGGATGGAGATTTGACCAAAACTAATGTTGTAGATCTCAAAAAGCTATAAAACTTTATGGTTAATAACTTTTTCATTTGAATTCATTTTGGGTCTCAAATACCCATTTGAATACCGGATGAAGATAAAATGAGGAGGACGAATATTGTAAATAAATACGAGAGTCTTAGGCCAGTCACAATGGCTAGTGTCATTGCACGGCTACCCAAAATATTATACCATCTTCTCTCAAATGAAATCTTTTATGAAACAATCCCCACAGTGGAGGGGTTTCACTTTGACGTTTCCAAGACTAAGCAAAGCATTTAATTGATACAAGTTGCTGGGATCATTTGTACCCAAAATCCGGCGCGGCGCGGGAGAATGCGGAGGTCGCACGGCGGAGGCGGACGCAAGAGATCCGGTGAATGAAACGAATCGGCCTCAACGGGGGTTTCACTCTGTTACCGAGGACTTGGAAACGACGCTGACGAGTTTCACCAGGATGAAACTCTTTCCTTCTCTCTCATCCCCATTTCATGCAAATAATCATTTTTTATTCAGTCTTACCCCTATTAAATGTGCATGACACACTAGTGAAACCCCCATTGTGACTGGCCTTATATGAGTGTGGTGAAGGGAGGAACGCGTGAGGCCTGGGTCACGGGTCCAACCCCCGCAATCGCGAAGCGCGTGTTTTTTGCGTAAAAAATTTCACGTAAGGGAGCAGTTCACGTTAGTGGATCCGGCCGGTTCCATGCACAGGACGTACTCCAAGTTGCCCAGGCATCAGGGCACCAGTACAGTACATGGACATCGTGACAGGAAATAATCGTTGAACGCGCTCACGACTGACTGCTGAGGCGCTGACGGCTTCAACGCCGAACGCTTGAGCGACGACTCGACCCGTTGACGCTGAGACACACTAGGCTGTGTTCGGCACAGCAAATTCCCATCTCTCCTCCCTCGTCTTCCATGCGTACACTTTTCAAAGCACTAAACGATATATTTTTTTGCAAAAAGTTTCTATACGAAAGTTGCTTAAAAAATCATATTGACCTATTTTTTAAAAAAAATATCTTATACTTAATTAATCATGTGCTAATAGACCACTCCATTTTCCGTGCGTAGGAGATTGGTTCCCATCTAGCGCAAGCGAACTCAGCCTAATTAAGTGATGCTGCTGTCAAGAGTACTAGTTGTCTAATCCATTCTTTCTATAAAACTATTACCCACTAAATATCTAAAGCTCAACATATAAGCATAGTATTGAATAGCACTCTTAAATCTTACATGCAAGTATGCCACATCAACAAATTAAACACACGAAGCTCATCAACATGCAAGCATATACTCCCTCCATCCCATAAAAAATTAATCTAGTACTTGATGTGACACATTCTAGTCCTACGAACCTGGTCATATATCAGTCTAAATTTGTTGTACTAAAATATGTCATATCTAGTTAGGTTTTTATTTACGAAGAAAGTAGTAATTATATCTACAATTTATTTCATTCTAAAACTAAACATACACATGCTAAATTATCATCATTTTGATAATATTTTAATCTAAATCATTTCATCGTATCTACCATGTATCCCGCACTAATCGTGGGACATCACGTAGTAACGCTATAATAATAACAGGCGACGGGCAGTGGAAGAACTGAGCTAGGCACATCCTCGAGCATGCATCACCCAGCTGCCATGTCCGTGTTGCGAGCCGCTGCTGGTGGCAACAGTGCGAGTGCGAGTGCGAGCTGCTTGCCGCACGATCCTGCAGGCCTCCTCGACTCGTGGCGTCCGGTGCAGCAACCAGACAGGACGCGTGCACGAGCTTCGACTTGGCAGCAGCAGCAGCACAGCTTTGGTTGGCCAGATAAGCCCTTCTGTACTTGCTCTACAACATCTGGAACACCTTGATCAACATCTTAGTCTCAACAACATGAACCTTACGACAGTGATGGATTGGCCTCGTGTCATGTTCGAACATGATCCCTTCTCTGAAGGTCCTTAATCTTTCTGGCTGCTCTCTTGCTACCGCAAACCAGCTGCTGCTACCAGTGAACCTCACAAACCTTGAGGTGCTGGATGCCTCCAGTAACTCCTTCGACCATCCAATGTCGGCCAGCTGGTTTTGGAACATAACAAGCCTACAATACCTTGACCTCAGTTCAAATAGATTGTATGGGCAAATTCCGCACAAACTGATGATGACATCCCTACAATTCCTTGATCTTTCGTCTAATGGAGATGGTGACAAGAACATGGGCGTCATGGCCACGGACCTTAGCAATCTATGCAGTTTGAATGTCCTGAAGATTCGCTGGGCTCTCTTATACGGAGACATAACTGAGATGTTTAAGAATCTGTCGTCTAATTGCTCGCCCAATCAACTGAAGGAACTAGACCTCGGAGTAAACCAGTTAACTGGGACGCTACCAAAATGGATAGGGCAGTTAACGAGCTTGGTTAAACAAGATCTCAGGGGAAATACCAGCCACTCTGTCAAATCTAACGTTCTTAAGTTACTTGGACTTGTCGTACAACAATCTTACGGGAGGAATTCCATCGGGAACACAGCTTAATAGCTTGTATGCAGCAAATCCATTTATGTACATTGGCAACATTGGACTTTGTGGGCATCCTCTCCAAAACAATTGCTCGAGGGATAATGCATCAAAGCAAGGTCGTCACCAGGGAGGAACAAAAGAAGGTCATGGGATAGATTTCTTTTATCTTGGACTTGGGTGTGGCTTCATAACTGGTACCTGGATGGCATTTGGTGTTCTGTTGTTCAAGCGAAGATGGAGAATTGCTTTCTTTCAACTACCAGACAAGCTGTACGACAAAGTATATGTCCTTGTCGCTACATGGGCAAGGAGAACACAAACTGATCGATTACCATGAAGCAGACGCAATTGTTGTTGCTCCTACAAAATTTAGCCAAAGTATAGTATTCATGAATAAATGGATGTGGAGAAGTCTGTTCAGTGCTTCTACTTCTGTTACTATCATGTATCGTTGTTTTTTTTTTGAAATGAAATGCAATATCACTGTTGTTAGTACTGTGCCCATACACATTCTTCAAGTAGGAGTTGTAATACATGGGTTATATTTCCTTATCATGACTATAGATGGCCAAATAGGCCTCCCGGTCGGGCCCTACCTAGGCATAACCAGGCCCGTGCCGAGGTTAGTCGGGCCAACACGGCCTAACCTACACATCGGGTTGGGCCTGCCCACGGGCAGCACCAACGGCCCAGGCGGTTGTGCCGTGCTGGTTTGAAGGCACGACAGCCCATTGTGATTTTACATGGAATAAGTATATTCTGCCTCTCTCGTCTCTTTAGGCCCTGTCATATATGGCTAGAATAAGTCTATTTTGCGTCCCTCCTCATTGGGTTGTGCCTTATATGGCTCAATTAAGTCTATTTTGGATCTCTCAACTATTTTTCTTTGATCGTGCCATGCCGAGTCGGCTCACCGTGCAAGACATCGGCCTAGGCACAGCCCAACTATCGAGTCGGGTCGGCACGGGCCCAACACCAATCGTGCCATGTTGTGCTTGGGCCGGGCCAAATGGTCATGCCGTGGGCCGGAGCCTTACGGCCATCTATAATCGTGAGACCAAGGAATTCGAGCGCTTCTGACAAGAATCGAGAGCTCAGTGATGGATAGTTACAATAGTAGCAACGCACGGAGGGCGTATCACACGCTGCGCTGCGCTGGACATTACTCCGTCCGTCGCGCACGGACACATGCATGCATTCACTCCCAGCGATCCACGCGTGAGTCGATCGATAAAAGACGTAAGAACATAAAAGATCAAGAATGTGAGAGAAAAAAGAACTCCCAAAGATACCAATAGAACATCAAAGTGAACAAAAAAGAGAGAGAGAAGAGGATAGTTAATTACCAAGAACAGAGCCACAGCCAGCCACGTCGTCGCCCATGAGGCCCGCTCCGGCACCGGCAGACGGCTGCGACCGCCGCCATCTGCACCTCGACGGCTTGACATTTGGTCTCTCTGTTCCTAGAAAACAGGATCACCAACGAAAGAGAACTTAACTTAAACTTTCAACAACAAAAAATAAATAATCACACACACTAGAAAACTTAGCTGGAAAATAGAAATTACTACCTTTTTCTTTTGGCAGACAGGCAGAATAAATTAAATAAGAAAAGTGATTAGAGAGTACACATTAGTTTGGGCTATTTCTTCACCCGAGAACCAAGCTAACAACACAATGATATAAGCATAGGTCGATCAGTAGTAGCACCATGCCAAAGTTCCCCCAAAGTTGCTCTATACATAAGGTGACATCCAAAAAATATCACAAACTGAACAGAGAACTTTTGTCTTACGTGGAAATACGTAGTACAAGAGTACAAGCTTGGCCTGCTGGAGTTCACAACTTTATATCAAGTCAAGGCAATAAATGCAACACCAGACCAGACAAATAATATTCTTTTTTTTTCTTTATACTAGCATAATGTACAGGTCCAACTGATATTTGTTAAGTAGGAAAAAATTAACAAATGATTACATTTATGTTGATACATCGAGTCATCAACTGCTTGATACATTACTGTGCAAGAAACTACACTGTTTTACAATGAAATAATTAAATTCAGCAAGCTGGAGTATGACGGTTTGTCTACATTCCTGTGCCACTCGAGCTCTTGAAATGCGGTCGGAGCTTGAGCTACTTGTTTAGCTTCCAGCATATCCATCATGAATGCCTCATTAGCTGCTACAAGACTTTCCAAAGCAGTAACACAAAACATGGGATAGGAAAAAAAAAGGAAACATATAAAGTGCGAATTAAAGACAAATCATGAATTACAGCTGGTAATGCCAGAAGAAGACAGTAATAATGGCCACCTTCACAGCAAAATAAATGCTAGTATGACTGCCTGCTACGGTGAGAACATCATGGCTAACTTAGTTCTTTTTAGATTATTTACATATTATCAATACTGATTATTTGCTCCAAGTTTTGATAAAATATATTTTCTAAAAAACATTATTCTACAGTATTGCTTAAATCACTTGTTTTAAGCTATTTGTTAATTTTATTTATCAAAATATTTAATTTATCTCTTTAATCAAGCAGATAATCTACAGCAACAATCCGCTCAATAATTTGATTCAAACTGAGCCTTAACAGTAGAAAAGCAGCAAAAAATGATAGGACAGACTAGTGAGCAGTGATGGTTTCACTCTTCATTTATATCATGCGAATCTAAGGACAGATTTAACTGATGAAACTGTTAAACCACAAGGGCTTTGCGAGACCATGTTTTAGGTGCCGCTGCAACTAACCACATATCCCATCAGAATGAAAAGAATATGCGGTTTAGCTTCATCACGTGCAAAAATAATATTACATGTGGAGGTGATACAGATTACATAGTAAAGAAGCTTCTAGCCAAGTTTATTTTTGGGCCTCTCTAGTGAAAACCCCTATTATTCATGTTATGAAGAGACAGTAAATTAGAGCTCAGTTAACTTATCTAATAATAGTTCATTTTGCTTGAAAACCACCACTGTATCAATCAAAATCACCACTTTCTCAGCTAGTGTTGCATGCACGGAGAGGGACAGGGAAGCCTAGAAAACTTATAACTAAAGTGGCTTGAAGCCTAGAATCTTGGCATATTGTAGAGACAGCAAAAAATGGAGACACATGATGTGCGTATCTACTGAGCAAATATATCTCAGCTGCATCTTAATCCCTAGGCAGGAAGGAACTTAAATCCCAAAAATACTAGCAAACATGTCAATGCAGATAAACGTGTGGTCATTGAGCCCAATAAATAAGATAAAGTTGAATTCACATGAAGGTCAAAAGATATTCTACATAGGTTCAATCCCAACACCAAGCAACTTAATTATTCAAATTTGGCCTTTTGTGCCTAGCACTTAACTTCACAACTACTCCTACTTCAGTGAGTTAGTATATTTCCCATGCTTCCTTAGATGCTAGTCATAATTGTCGTGGAACCATTTTCCAGCCCAAAGCCACGACATATTCCATGGTGAGGGTATTGTTAGCTACACCTTTTGCATCATTAGGATATTTTCAAGGTTCCCCTAACTAAATGGTGGATACTAATTATGATCCCATGTTGCATTAGAAGAGAATGGTGATTCTCCAGGTTACCATACAGTTGAAATGTCAGAAAATGTCCTTGACATCTATAGGCCTTGTAACATTGTACTAAATCAATTTCTATATGTGATCAGCTAGTCCAACCAGTTTTTATTTACAAAGAAACTAAATGTCATATCAATCATAAAAGATCCAATATGGAAACAGTCTAGGACATATGAAATTAGTCTCTACAGGTCTAGTTCAACATACTGACAAAGGGTTAGCATAATCAGCTTATATATTTTGGCCAAAGATCTGTGGCTAAGTTAAATCACAACATAGAAAAAGCTAAGTGTGCATCTATCCTTACCGCCTTCAGGAAAGCATGCAAGAACGACAGTTGAGCCCCCTCAGGGATTTTTCCTAAACTTGTCAATTTCTGCTTTAGCAAATAAAACAACAAAAGAAACAAATGATTTAATGATCACTTTGGGGAAAAACACAAGAGAAGGCTATTGCCAAGGAAACAAATCATCACATCAAACATAATCGGATTAAGTCATATCGAACTGTGTTAAATTTAAAATTAAAACTGAAAATATTATATCAACAGAATGTAAATGTTCTTCATTGGGTTTGAATGCCACACCAATACGGCAATACCTATGATAATCAAACCAAGAACCACTGTCTGCAAGAACTAATGAAAAAAAATTACAAGTCCTTAATTGGCATCGATAGCTCATGCACAATGGTCCATCTCAGAACCAATTTACACCTTATTATTTGCTCCTTTTCTTAGAATGTGCTTTCATTCCAGCGGTGCACAGAGTTTGTTAGTGTAATTACTTTCGGCAAAATTTTCTATATGACATCATAGTTTGGTGGAATTTAAGGCACTCAAAAAATGTGTCTTTGCTAAAACACTGATGGCATTATTTCAAGATTTCTGGCTTAACTGATGACAAAATTTTGGAAATGGCGTTCTACCCCCATGCCAAGTTATAAGTTCGGGTTCTATAATTTAAACTGACATTTCCGAAATTTTTGGTCTTTTGGCCACCAGGTAGGATATGCTTCCTAAAAAAAACACACATTTCTTAATTACGAAATAAGTATGAATTCAGCCAAATTTTGCTAAAACTTTTGCGGGGGAAGATCCATTATACAGGCCTCTGAAATGTTTTTGATTTACACAATTTGTTTTGGAATCAGCACAACATGTTTAAATTCGGCCAAATTTTGTTCAGTTTTTTTCGTCAGAAATTTTTTAGTACTTCTAAAATTTTTCATTCAATTAGGCTCTTTTCTTTTCAGCTTATTCACCAGATTATTGAAATGGATTATTTCGCCCACATTTCCAAAAATACGTTTTCTAAAAAAATTCCTACTACTGCATTGCTTAGACCACTTGTTTAAGCTATTTATTAAATTTATTTCTTAAAATATTTAATTTATCCCTATAATCAAATCGACAATCCACGACAATAATCTGTACAATAACCTGAACCAAACGGCGCCTAATCCCCTGAAATGTTTTCATTTCCACAATTTGGGATGAAAATTTAGCCGGGTCAAGCGTGCAATTTGGGGATGGGTTCAAAGTGTCCTTAGTGAACTTTAATATTTTCACTCAAAGATAAAAAAAAAACAAGAAAAAAAAGAAAAGGAATAGCATGATTTAACAAATTGCCACAAAACCGAAGTTTCCTACGGAAAGGCATGTTTTCGGAGTGTCCCATGGGAATGTCCTAGGGCAAATTTTGCCCCTTTCAATTGCACTACACTAACATGCCACTCTTACTACATGTTGGCATGCTAATATCTAGGATCCATGTTCCTACCAAATGATAGCTTGTTTTTCTGCCTTCTACCTCCCTTTGGACATTTTAGAGTTGGGATGCCCTCATAGGCAATCATTGCAGTATTATTTAGTCAAACCATTAAGTACAAGACAACTCAACATTATGTGACATGCTATGGTTAAAAAAAAATGTAAGTTCGCATATTCTCCTACAAGTAATTCCTTTCAAGCTGTCAAGGCAGCAGAACCTTAAATATCTATAAACTCCAGAATGAAAAACAGGTCATGAGAAAATTAAAATAGTAGGTTGTCTCCAGTACTGGTCATTTAATCTTAAATTTTGAATGAGCTCAGTTTAACCCAATTGGCACTAAAAATTATTATTCATAAATTGGGAACAAAAATGTTCACGAAGTAGAATGAAATTAATCTCTGAAACCAAATGAACGTATGGAAGAGGCAGTTAGTTAACAACAGTTTATGTTGCCACCAATTTCTTATACCTGATCACAACTATGGATTGCAGGAAATGCCAATCATCACACATTCAAAATATGAAGGGCTAGGATCATAGGGTTTAATTAAATATTCTTTCACAGAAAACATTGTGAGAGTAAAAAAGCAAATGTATGTCCTGGGATTCAATGTTAACCATTTCAGGCACTGCAAGTGGCCCCCAAGAGAGACTTCCACTAGTCTCTTGCATAGAAAAAAAATTGTGATTGCAGGGTTTCATAGCTAGTTGTATAGTTTCTTTCTATTCGCATGAGAAAAATAGCTATGGATCCTTTTGGTGAAACTTATCTCTTTTGACCCTGTAGGGCCGTTATACAGTATAACAGAACCCATAATCCATCTGAGCCTAGCGGATAAACATGGGAGTCATGCATTGTGCATTATCAGATATCCAGGTGTACAAAATTAAAGTATTGCAGGTCCAAGATAAGCATCCTCAGAGTTGTGAGTTGAGCATCCAATATAGGAGCAACGAACTCCACAAAAGCAGGTAAAGTCCACATGACAACATGGTAAAACGTCAACATGGTAAAACGGCAACATAAGTACAGATAGTTCCAAACATGTATGGACAGGAGAACATGGTAATTCTATTCCAAACATGCAGCACTACCTTAACCAAAATGTATGGACAAGACCCAATTTCAATGGTCTCAGATAGTTCCAGAAGCATTACCAGCAACCTGGCAAAAGAAAATTAGGTAACCAACTGAAGCCTAGGAAGAAATGGTTGCACTTATGGTAAATAATAAAGCACCAAAGCATACCTTCCGACACCTGTCTCCAAGGAACAAGATAACAGGAGTTCTAACGCCTATTTCCACGAAAGCTACCCTTCCCAGGTACTTTTTTCTTGAATGACTTGGGACCACCAGAATTCCTGAAGGAACTGAAGTGGAGAGTTTAAAACCACAGATGGGCAATGCTTAACCAAGTATGTTAGAATTAAAACTAGTATACTCACTTCTTTCTCCCCTTTGCAACATCTTGCTTCATTTTCAGAACAATGTCCATTGCATGTTGATGGTGTTCCCTGGTCTCTACATGTATATTCAGGTTCTCTACTGTACCACAGCTAATATTGCATATACGGCACCAACTGACATCTCCATCTCTCAAGTGTCCACCCTATAGAGAAGACCACCAAACAAGAGTTCAGCGGGTAAACAGAACATCAGGTAACAGCAATATCATATGGGAAGAGATAAAGCATATTATAGAAAGAAACACCAATAACCCACCGAACCAAAGTGGGCAGATTCTTTTGGAAAACCATGCCGAGAATAATCAATTGGAATATTTGGATCATCTGCATGCATGTGACCTCTGTAGCCATAGTCAGAAGGCTCAATGCCATGCAATTGGCCACCACCCCAACCACCACCGTGCAGATTTCTTGGCACAAAAGCATCACCAGGATGGAATCGAGTACGAGGGAACTCTGAGTTGTCAAAATCATGGTGTCCACTCCCAGGAAAGTTACTAGAGCCTAGCTGATCTTTATGCAAACCTCCAGGCCCGCCTGTCATCCCTTGAAGAAATGGACCTAAATTTCATTTTAATCCATTAGTCACTGAAATATGATGAAAAGGATCAAGGTGTACTAAACTTTTCGCCATTTATGAAATATGATGAAAAGGATGAAGGTGATTCTGATCCTTACCTGCATTTCTAAGAGTAGGTATTCCATCAATACCACGATGACCAAATTCTGCACCAGGCGAAATAAAGTCAGGATAACTAACAGTCGAATTGGGTTTCCTTGGGTAATCTTCTCCGAAGCCTATAGGAAATGGACCAGGATGATTTGTCAATGGAGGCCTTCCAGGTAATATATCAGCAAAACCATCAGGTCTACCTAAACCTCCTTCAAAAGGTCTAGGACCCCTTTGATGACCTTCACCGTCAAGGTGAGTAGGCACTGGAAACTGCTTCATATTATCTTCAAAATCTTTGTGGCTAACGTTGTTTCTGCCAGGATTTGCTGCACATGACTTGGAATGTTTCTGTGAAGAATTGAATCCACCTTCAAATAAAGCCCTTGAGCCTCCATGTGGTCCATTGCCAACACTATTGTTCTTTTTAGTTCCTGAATAAATGGAAGTTTGGTCATATGCTTGCAAACACATACATACATATTAGATTTGTTACAGAGAATTACCAAGAGGATGAGGCTGACCAACATATTCAGGAGCAAAAGGAGGAACTGTTGAATCATGCAGCCCAGGCATTGGTGCCCCCATCGGTGGCCGAACTATAGCACCATCAGGTCTGATGGACTGTGAAATTTGCATCTGATTTTGGTTTGGACCAGGCACCCTAGGTGCCATTTCAAATGGTTGTTGCATTGGAGGCCGACTATTTTCAGGAAAGGAATGTTTAGGTGGCCTCATTTGATTTGGCAGCCCCTGCATATACGGCATATGCCCAGGCTGACGCATATGTTGAGGAAGCATTGAATCAGGTCCATAAGGATGTTGTGGTGCCTGCTGTAATGATCCACCTTTCACAAGATCATTTGATATACCAGACCTAGTCCCTTTGCCTCCCCGAGCATCTGGATCATGTGAATTACTTTCCCAAGCTGAAAAGTCAACTTTTCCTTTCCCCTTCCCCTTGTCTGAACCATCTGACCCATCCAATGAAATAGGATTTACAAGAGCTGATTCAGCACTTCCATTTTTCCCACTTACTTCTGTATTACCAGTACCATTAGTTGCATTTTCTGATTTCTCAGATTCCGAAGTAGGTTTTTTTAAAGACGAAGAGCCCTGCCCAAAAGATTGTCCAGCACCATGCAATTCAGATGTTGCTCCTACATTATCAGAGGCCATACGCATTGGTGGTTGTTGATTCATCACACCTGCCTGTAAACCTTTAACTGGACCACCAGATTGATTTTGGAACTGCTCTTGTGGTGCAACATAATTCATAGACCGACCAGCAGAAGTATGAGTAGGGTGCTGTTGCATAAATTGTTGGCCTTGGGATTGGAGAGGTGCATGCATCAGTTGTTGTGATGAGGGCATTCCTTGTTGGTATGATTGACCTGTTTGTGAGGGAGCAGGTGCGTTTAGAGGGAATCCTTGTGGTGCTGCCTGTGGAGGAATGCTAGCATATATTTCTGGCCGCAGGGCATGATGCCCAACATGCTGATGTTGTGGTGTCTGCTGAATCCCTTGAGCCATCATAGTTGGTTGTTGGCCCTGTGGAGTATGTGCAAGTGCATGATGCTGAGCACTAGGCATTTGCTGCTGAGATACATGTAGGGAACGTTGCAGTGGAGCACCTTGTTGCATCTGATGTGCTGGCTGAGGCTGTGAAAATGATTGATGACCTGTTACTGCATGAACTGAAGGATTCTGAGGTTGTGCATGAGACATTGGAGGAGGCTGATGATATGCCTGCATTTGTGGATAAGATTGCTGCTGTGCATTTGGATGTTGCTGCTGAGGTAAATGCTGCAGTTGTGGCTGTTGTTGCTGAGCCATAACCTGATGGTGCTGTGGAATATGAGGTTGAACATGTGGCTGAACTTCAGATGGTGTTGCTTGAGTAGGAGGCATTGCAAATGGTTGGCTACCAAGTTGTGTAGGGACTGGTGTATGGGTTGTAGGTTGTGCATGGGGTTGAGGCTGTTGGAAAGATACTTGGCTTTGTGGTTGTGCTTGTACAATTTGAGTTTGAGCTGCAGACTGCAATGGTGGATGCTGCTGAGACTGTGACTGAGCTGCTGGTGCTTGGAGTTGTGTAAGGTGGGGCTGATTCTGAGGTTGGAATGGCACCATGTGTTGGGGCTGATTGGGCTGTAGAACTTGAGGCTGAGCATATGGAGCAGATTGCGCAGGAGCTTGAGCCACATTCTGGGGTGCAATTTGCGTCTGAGGTTGTGTGTACTGTTGGTACTGACCATACTGTTGATACTGCTGCATGTAGGGGTTATATCCAGGGTAATGTTGCTGGTAGTACTGCTGGTACTGGAGCTGCTGCTGGTATTGCTCAGCTGTTGGAGTTTGAGGAGCAAGTGCTTGACCTTGACTAGCAGCAGTAGGTGCCACCGGAAGTGAAGGAGCCACAGCCACGGTGCTTACAGTGGTTGAACCAGCTGAAGCAACTGCGATAGCAGAATCTGTTCCAGCTCTGGCTGTAGTTGTGGATGGTACTGTTGTAGGAGCTGCTGTAACAGGCGTCATAGGGACTGCTGAGGCCACTGCAGAAGGACCTTGCACGGCTGCCTGGGTTCCTGTTGCTGATGACTGCATCATACTACTGTCAGTGTGTTGTGCTTGCGCCTGAGGTTGCAAACCCTGCAATAACATGCAAAGGGAAAAAACATTAGTGAATAGGGAAATGATGCTAATACATATCGAGGGAGTAATAAGGAATGATGGAGATGGACATACTGGACAGAGTTGAGCATGTTCTTGCACTTGACGGTGTACAATCTGAGTACTGCAACGGTTACAAACTACAGGAGAGTTCCCATAGGCACAAGTAGTACCATGTGTGATGCAGTCAGACAGATTACCATGCCATTGACAACCACTCTTGTGATACTGACAGTGGACTGTAACTTTACCAATTGTCTCAGCAAGGGGTTTATTTGATTCCATCAGAGGCTGCATATTGCAAATCAGGTTGTAAATAAAGGGATCACTACCACCAAATATACTTGATGAACTGAATATGCACAAAGCATTCCCTTAAGAAGATAGCAGTACCTTGGAATCAGCTTCTGTAACCAAATAGCCATCATAAGGGCAGGCTTGTGTTGTTGCCACTATGTAAGCCAAGCAGGGTTTGCAGTAGAGATGTGTGCACTGAGTTTGCAGAGCTTCGTTGGGACATATGAGCGTCCGACAAACAGGACAGAAATATTCACCAGGAAGAGTTTGAATATTCAGAACACACTCATTATCGAAACCCATCGTCAAAATTCCACTTAATGTTATCAAATCAGGGTTTTGATGCCTGCAAATCCAATAGGTGATAAAAGGAAGCAGGTGTGAGCTTTTCAATTTTCATAGTATTTGCAATAAAACCAGAAATTATCATGCATGGCATTCACTCTAACATGCATGATATAGCGTATAAAATGAAGAAAAGAAACAAATATGCAGTGACAATGCAAGAATTGGTTTTTGAGAATAATCACAAAATTTGTACCAATCAATCAATAAATCATATAACATGGGCAGGAACAATCAAACAAATTTATTCAGTCAGAAAAGTTACAGAAGCAAATATTAGGAATCTTAACCCGACAAGAGACAAAAGCACTATCCATTGCCTGATTAACAGCCACATAAAGTGTGATAAGTAGAGTTCACATGTCAGCAACATATTTTTTGGTCAAGTGCAGCAGGTATTACGTCCACCAAAGAGGATAAAAACTGCTAATGAACATCCCTTTTAATAGTAATACTAAACCATAATGCACTATTACGTTAAAGCAGGTCCATATACAACATGTGCATCAATCAGACACAGCCAAACAAATATGGCAGGTAATCATATTAACAAAATTGGCCAACATCGTTGCTGAGCTGAGCAGAAATGGTATATACAATGGGAACCAACATGTCACACGTGTCAATAAGAGATGTTATTAGATGCGAAGTTTCCAAGCCAATCATTTCAGATAAAATTATGCCACGTAATCAAGGTAGAAACGACAAGTTGACGGAATCGACGTAGCAGTAGTAACAGACATTATTATCAAAGCTGGAATTAAACCGTTCCAACTAGAATTTTGGCGGGAAATGGAGACAGAATATATTCGACTACGTTAATAATATGAGCTGGAACGACGTACAGAGTAAATAGAACCAGTACCAGACTATATTATTAAATCTGAAAAGACCTTGCTAACTATATTCCGCCAAATTGCAAGGTTAGCCAAAAACATTACAAAGATGAGCGGAAACAACATATTAAGGGAATCTTTCATGGCTGACTATATCCATTGAAGTCCATACATACGGAGTGATGCACTAATAACACTGCATAGACTGCCACATGACAAACCAAAGCATTATACCCAACACATACAAGAAGTGAACTTGAAATGGACTCGGCACGAGATGTATCAACAATGATATGGGCAACACAACAGATCTGTTACAATCATACACACAACAAACACATGCAGAGGGAAACCATTAATCTATCATCACATCAATCCAGGATTACACACTTGCACAGATCCTCTCGGACAAGCGAAGCATCGGGTTAGGGTTTGATCTGAGTACCTGAGAAAGGACCGAACGAACGCGTGGGGCAGCTCAAATCAGGCGGCGTGCGAGGGGGAACGCGATCGTCGTCGTTCCCACTCCAAAACCCTACCTCGTGAGCGGGGCGTCGTGGAGATCGGCGCCGGGTGGTAGCGGACGTAAGCACGGCTCCGCGGCCGGGCCGCGTATCTGGAGGTGGGCGGGGGCGATCCCAAGGCGGCGTCGGCTAGTCGAGACGGTGCGTTCGCGCGAGTAGCGGTGGGTGGGGCGCCGGCGATGGCGAGGCGGGGAGGGGCGACGGACAGGCGGGCGGTCAGGCGGGCGGGGTAGGGAGCACCGCCGAGGGGCGGCGCGGCGGCGAACTCCGCCGGCAAGCGGTTGGGGGCGGCGAGGGTGGCGGTGCTTTGCGAGAGCTAGGGTTGGTTATGCGTTGGGAGTGTGGGCGAGGAACACCGGGGCACGAGACTAGGCGAGTGGTTCGGCTAGTTTGGTGGGCCGTCGGGGGTGAATCGGGCCGAGTAGGTTTGCTCGGGGCTTAGCCCAACTACGAAGCCCATGTGACAAACGAACGGCCCAACCGATGATGAATCCAGTCACAAACAGTGGGGATAGATCCATAGAGGAGCTCTAGCAGCTGGGGGGTCAAGGTGTCGGGGAGCTGCACGGATGGAGAAGAGGATAGGGACCAGGTTTTTCAAACCGTCGGGGCCGGGTTTATCACGTCCCAACGGTAAGCACGGTTACTGTAGTTAAACTAATACATGTAACCGCGGTAACCGTGAAAAACCGTACAAAATTTATCAAAAATTCAAATTATTTTTAAAATTTATTTGAATTTAAGGAGGTTACCGCGGTATTTATATTACCGTACCCCCGCGGTAACCGCGCGGTTACCGGCGGTAAGGTACACCCTGGTAGGGACCCGGGGAAGTGATTATATTATTTCAGTTTGAAATCTAGGACCCACCGTCAAATCATTCTCTCATCCAAAATTTTTGAAAATTCTCTTTTTTTTATATTCAATCAAAATTTATTTAAACTCAGTTAAAGTTTGTTAAAGTTTCAAATAATTTCGATCCAGAAGTACCGAAATTCGTAAATTTTGGTGCTACCGAAAGTTTGACCAAAATCGAAAGTGCAAACCCTAACCCAGGGAACGGCGAGCTGCGGAGTGGGAAAGGAGCAGGAGAGCAGGAGGCGAGCGGCAGAGTGGGAGAAGAGCAGGGAAGAGGTCGGCAACGGAGGGGCAAGGGAACAACGAGAGGCGGAGTGACTTTTTTTTTCTTTACTGCCATAATTGCCATTATATAAAAACTATAACATATCATTGTAAATGTGTGTGATAAATCATTTAGCATCTTTTCCACGCATATTAATTGTATAGTTTATAGTTAAAAACATTTAAAATGTAACTAAAATCAATTGATATGTTTATTAGATTTGATAAATTTTGAGATGAAAGATGTAACCTTACACTTCACATAGAGGATAGAATAGGTATCGAAACTCATGCGAAATCTCCCAAGTGTTGCATCTCATATAACCAACCAAACATTATCCCAACCTATCTTAGTTAAACTAATACATGTAACCAGACAGCACCATTCAGCCATCTACGTCCTATGGCCATGCTAATCCCAAATAGGATGACCCGTACGAGCCAAGTTAAGGTCACCCAATGCAAACCAAATAGGCCCATAACAATATAAAACTTATTTTTTTATGAAATAGACTTTTATAAGATTATTATGTGAATTAAAATGGTCTATTTTGCATGGATATTGGCTCACAAACAGCACAAATAATTATAACAAGCAAAAATATATTTGTTTTTAATCAAAACTTAAAATGTGCGATAGAGTAGAATTCCAGTTGAAGCATTCGCTTCTCATACATTAAACATCAAATTTCAACATTTAAAATATATTTATTTTACCAACATACTACATACTACAATCGTGTGACATCTTATTGTAAAGATTTAATTGTAATGAATAAAACCATGTTACCAGATAAGTATTTTTTGAGAAAAATCATTTAAAGTTTGGTAATATAGCTCATACATGTACATACATGCGAAGAGAGCATGTGCCACTATGGAAGAGTGGGACGGGGCATACAACAGCTGGAGGCGGAGCGACTAATTTGTTGGGCTGTGTCGGCCATCTGACGAAAGGAATTTTCCAAATCTTTGAAAGTAAGTCTGATGTGATATGGTTAATTTTCCATTTAGGTATCTTGTTATCATAGTTAATTTATTGCAAACTTTAATATTCCAATTGAAAATAAGTTGTGGACAGATTTAAAAGTAAACCAACCACAACCTCTTGATGTTCATATGTTCTTTCTCTAAAATTCCAAATGGGTAAAAATGGAACTTTTATAGCTCTATGTTTTTGTTGCAATGAAACAACAATAATAGCAAAATTTTATGATCTATCATTATCGAAAGCTCTATTCTATAGAATGGCATCGACTAGGTCAATGTCTACAATTTGCCATCATATAATCATATTTATCCCCTTTTTTCCGTCACCATCAATTAACGTCCTTTACCCATTTAGAAATTTTACATATTGCTAAAAATACCTCCAGGTTGCATGTGTTTAGTTACTCACTCGACGACCGATACTCATCCCTCTATGGTGTTGTTCCCCCCCTCCTTGGTGGTTGTGCCCCCCTCCCCCCCCTCCTCCCTTTTTAGCCAGCCCAATAGTGTTATTACTCCCTGTTTGATGTCATTATCCTTCCCTGGTGCTCCCCAACCTGAACTATGGGGTGATTCTCCTTTGTTTGTGTAAGCTCAAGCTGTCACCTCCCTCCCACATTCCCTCTAAGACCTCCTCCCTCGAATTGGCCAACACTGCCCTCTCACATAACGCAGCACCGTGTAGAGTCTAGATCCGAAGGTAGTAGTGAGAGGTCAAAAGAAAGTCAGCGGCAAAAGGGTCACTCTTGACCTCCTCTAGTGACGGTGTGATGAGATGGCAGTGGCTTGGAGGTAGCCCAAGTGCCCAACAACGATGACGTTGAGTATGGTGATGTGAGAAGCAGCCATTGCAGCTCCTCTTCCGTTCTCCCCTTCCCTCCAGACAACGAAGAGCATGGTGACAGGACGGGCCCTTCCACCGAACCCTCCCTCTATCCTTCCCAGACCCATTCCCTCCCAACGGTGTTGCCAACATTATCTGACGCCATTCCATTTTCTTCTCTAAGGGTTGGACACAAAGGAATCAGGGGTACTTTGGAAAAAAAATGGAAAAATTCTTAATAGGTTAGCTGATGTTGATGTAAAAAGGGTTGGTAGAGGAAAGTCCATATACCCCCAAAACTTTGAACAAAAGTCCGTCTAGCACCTAAACTTTAAAACCGTACATCTAACCCCCCCCCCCCCCCAACACACACGCCACAACTTTTGTAACATTGTTCATAAAAACCCCTCCAAAGTAGTTTTGTTGGTTGTTTTTGCGTATTTGGATGCTAGTAGTTTTGGCTAACTAAGATGACAAATATTTGCATTGGGTCAATCCTTAGCCCTCAAATTATATCTTATTGTGTTGCGTCATACTAGCATTATATATGTCCTCAATAATCAGGGAGAGAGAGATAAATGAAGATTTTGGTACATATCTTCAAGAAAAGAATATGAAAATATACCTTTTTATCAAAATATACACGTTTTGAACGAATTGCAAGAAGTATATTGTTGTTGTGGAGCAGAGATGCGAACTTGCAGCGAGTTTGCATGGTCGGTGCGGGAACTCGTGACGTGTTCGTGATGTCATCATGGGTTCGCACGGTAAGTGTGCGAACTCATGATGTGTTCACGGTGTTTGCAGGGAGAAAAGCGAACTCGCACAATAATGAAGTAGCGAGAACGATCCGTAGCACTGTGAACTCGTGGAGCGGGGATGCTCCCTAGTCCCCGTTGAGCAGACTCACATGTGTGTCCACGATTTCGCATCCCTAATTTGCGAACTCGAGCGTCTGCCATGAGTTCGTATCTTTGCTCTGCAATGATGGTATATTTTAATCAATTCTTTCAAATGTGTGTATTCCTATAAAACCGGTGAAAAAAACATATCTTCAATTTGTTTTCATAACTTCCATACACATTTCATGTTGCTAAAATTATTAAAAGAATATGTAAAATTAGACAAACACTAGTTTAGGGGTTATATGAATGGTACTGTAAATTTTAGAGGGCACAACTCTTTATCCTCCTGATTTTGTTACTATAAAGCTATCGAGTGGTTATGAAAGGACGTGACCTATATATGTACATGCTCTGCGATTAATCCAATCTATCACGTTGAGTCATTCCTTCTCACAACCTTAATTAAAAACAGGAACCTACATAGCAAATGACCTTTAAAGCTAGGACAATGTTTTGGCAAAAGGTATGCCACTGTTTTTCAACCAAAGGTGATTGTGCCCAACTTCTGAAAAGTGAAAACATTAGCAGAGCAGCCGTAAACATTGAAAGTAAGTAAGTGCCATTAGAGTACATTTGTGCTGCCCTACAATTGTACATGTGTGACAATCTGTTCCTCTTTTTGACTCCTGCCCCATTCCCACCAAACAACAGAATGTTCTTCCAAAGCTTGATCCACACGCGAGAGCATGCTGGTTTGTCAAGGATTAAACGCATCGACTTTCAATTTGCTGGCGTATTAATTAGCGAATTACTATTTGGCAAAACCCCAGCTTGAGATTTAGAAATGCCACTGTTAGTGTTAGCTGTTAGGGTAGTACGTATAGGCTGGCAAATTTAAATCATACGTCCTCTAGGCAAGAAGCTTAAATTGCCTCTAAAACTAGGAACCCTGTTGCTGCGTTCAAGACAAGGTTTTAAAATACCAGTCTCCTAGGCCAGACTGGTTACCGAAATGTATAGCACTTTTTTAAAATGCAACTGCAAAAATCTAAATATGAATTTGAAGTGATTTATCTGACGATCACCTGGTATTTTTGGTGATCCATAGTTGAAGCAACTGCAAGTTCTGAGGCTAAACACATGCCCAGCACGTGATGTGCAGGAGAATCCAATGTCCTGTTCATCTCTCTTGTTAATGAGGCAGCAGATCTTGTCCCAACCAAAACACAGTGGGGGGTGGTGCACTGGTGGCCTTCAGTCCTACATCCCCTTCTTCATTTCTCTTGTTAATGGCCTGGCAGATCTTGTCTTCCCCTACCTGAAAAAACTCACATTTATTATGCAACCAATAGTAGCATTGGCCATGGTGTCTGTTCAATCTCATCGTTTTGCCCACATCTGATTATAAACCGTAACATTTATTAACGATAACAATATAATTTATGAGGTAAACTTTTATATACGAGCATGATTAGGTAATAGGTTTTTGTCATTTTAAACCATATTTTTTTCTGGGTAAAATTGATAAACATATAGATGCATTTAGTTTGTTACCAAACATTGGTAATGCCTAAGTAATTTTTGCAACATCATATTTAGCATATTTTATCAAAACTTGGTGATGCTATCAATTTACCAAAATTTTGATATTGCTTAATATTGGAAATGTTCTTTTTGACATTAATATGAATATATCTTATATCTTCTTAGGCAACAACAATATATATAGCAAAAGTAGTCCATATAGATGGGACCCACATATATGGACTATAATTATTGCTTTCTTCACAATGTATATAGATAGCAACTAGTATTAGGAGGAGACAGGAAATAAAGATAAATAACATATTTATTCTATATGGGTAGCCCATATGCTTATGGGTGGCTTTTGCTATTTTCTTGCTATGGACTAGTTCCACAATGTGGTTAGGTGGCTGAATGAAATATTTTATTGCTTATGGACTAGTTTTAGACTACATTGTGGATGCCCTTAGTGACTTAAAAGCCAACGCTAAATAATAAATTATAATAAAAAAATTCAAAGTCAACTACTCAACTCTAAAGTTAAGATTTACTTCATCCGTTTTACAATGTAAGTTATTCTAGCATTTTCCACATTTATATTGATGTTAATAAATCTAGATGAATCTAGACATATAACATCATTGTGAGAAATAGTAGAATGACTTATATTATGAAACGGAGAGAGTAAAATTTAGGATTTGGTTGTGCTTGATAAGCTGAAAGAGCAAACGATGAAGATGTGCTGACAGTAATAAAAATGGGTTCACAAATTTTGGGATGGAGTAAAGGTTACAAAAATGGCTTCCAAATTTGATCTTGAGCTTATCTGTGCAGTCAGTGAGCTGTACTGAACTACTGATGAACAGTTGCTGAAGAACATGGAATTTATTAGTAAGATGGAAGAGAGGTTGCTTTGCTTCAGCTCGAGTGTACTGCATTTTCCTATGCTGGATTCCTTTGAGTACGTGTAAATTTAACACGCCGCCATCAATAGGAATCTGGTACAAAGAATGATGGAGCAGGGGCATTTGAATACTGTATATTTTATTATCAACCCAATTCATCAAGCAATTTGCAGCAAATTTGATGCAAGTCTGAAGAACAAAACCTGAATTTCATCTGAACCGAACCCCTGCGAACTCCTACATTCGAGATTCCAGTTAGAAAATTTGCATTCTGCTGTCACAAATTTTACTAGGACAAGCACGAATTGCTCCTAAAAGTTAATTTTTTTTATATATATCGCACGAATTGTTCCTAAAAGTTAGTAAGAAAAAGAGAGCAAAAAGCCTTTCCAACCATGGTGTTTGGTGGGCTCAGAAAGGAAAAAAACCAGAATACCTAACATTCAGTTAAATTTCGGTCAAGTACAGTGCAAGGCAGATGCACGTAACAATGTAACATCACGGCAATGAGCTGGTTAATCTAATCCCTTAACTAACAAATTCCCAATCTCACAGGGCCCCAGATCTCTGTTGCCAATTCAAAAAAAAAAAACAGCTTAAAAATTCGTAATAGAGAGTAGCCTCTCTCACCTTCTTCAATGGCAAAGCTTAAATAGAGTGAATGGGAAGCTAGAGCCATGGCCATCATCATCATCAACGATGCATCCATGGCTATAGCCTAAGAGGAAGAGGAAGAGGAGATGATGAACCCATCACACCCAGCCCAGCACTAACTAACCCTCCCTTCAATCCAACTCCACCTCAATCCAATTCCATTCTCTCGCTCGCACCAAACAGCTGCACCGATTTTGTTCTTTTCCCACTTAAAAAATTTGGATCTTTTTCGGGTGCTAAAAACCCTTTCTTTCTTTTTTTTTTCTTTTCTGTCCACTTCGTTCGTGGTGGAGTGGATTTGGACCACGCGCACCACCGCAACCAATCCCCCTTCCCACGACAAATCCCAATCGGAAGCAAGAATACAAGGGAGAAATCGATAGAAATCGACCCTGAATTGGAGCAATTCGCCACCAAGAACTCCACCACCAGGAGAGGAATCCATCATTTCTTGGCCCACTCCACCAATCCGAAGAAAGAAATCGCGAGAAATCCCCACCAGATTATAGCGCATCATTAGCGGAGGATTAGAGCCAAGAGAAGAGAAAAAAAGGTGGAAGAAAAGCAATGGCGGAGGTGGCGCTCTTCCGGGGCCCGACCAACCTCGCTTCACCCGCAAGCCGCTCCTCCTCCTCCTCCTCCTCCTCCTCACTGCGTTATTTAGCCACCTCCGATGGCGACGTGCTCCCAAGAAGAAGCAGCAGCGGTAGCGGCAGCAGCCTGGGATCTACAGGAAGCTTGGGAATCCAAGAACGGCGCGAGGAAGAGGGAGGAGAATCGGAGGAGGAGGAGGAGGAGTGGTCGTTCTTGGCGCTGCTGCTCGCGCTGCTGCGGAAGTCGCTGCTCGGGTGCAGCGCGGAGGACGGCGGCGGCGGCGAAGGGATGGAGATAGGGTGGCCGACGGACGTGCAGCACGTGGCGCACGTCACCTTCGATAGGTTCCATGGATTCCTCGGGCTCCCCGTGGAGTTCGAGCCCGAGGTGCCCCGCCGCGCTCCCAGTGCGAGGTCTGTTCATCACTAGGAGCTGAATTCTTCAGAGTTTCAGGCCATTCAGTTTGTAGTTCAGGTTTAATTTTCTGTGTTCAAAAAGTGGTAAACCTTTTTTGTTTGAATTCTTCAGAGTTTCAGGTCATTCAGTTTGTAGTTCAGGTTTAATTTTCTGTGTTCAAAAGTGGTAAACCTTTTTTTGTGTGAATTCTTCAGAGTTTCAGGTCATTCAGTTTGTAGTTCAGGTTTAATTTTCTGTGTTCAAAAAAGTGGTAAACCTTTTTTTGGGTGTCATTGTTTGCATTTCTGCTGGAGTTTTGATATGCATTGTTGCAGAAATGTTAAGAGTCCTCTAATTTAAATAGTGTTGGCTTCAAACAAGTTGTTCTTAAAGAAGAAATTTGAGCCTGTTTCCTAAATTTAGGTTGCATTGGTGTTTGCAAAGTATGGTTTTTGTTTCGGTTGTGGTAAAAAGAAAAGTTATTTGTTTATTAAAAACTCTGTGCGACTGTGCCGCTTTCATCTGAATTGGTAGAAAGACATTTTTTATGTTTTCTAGGTGGAGTTTTAAATTCTGTTTGAATTAAGTTTGTGTATTATACTCCGTTTGGTTTTGGTCTTTGTGTTGGTAGACTTTATAACCTTTGCTGCATTTGAACCGTGGTAGACAAAATGTGCATGTCTTGATGATTGGGGTTAGGCTTCGGACCACCACTCTAGAAATGTAGAAGAAGTGTGTGTGCCACATTTTTCTCCATCACTCATTAATAATGGTCCAATCATGTCTTCAGATGTACTGTTTTTTGATGGCATCGCATGATTTTTCTGTAGCTGCTTACTACCTTGTAAAACTTGGGTGGAAAAAATACCTTCAATTATAAATGGTACTGTAATCAAACTGTTGTTTTTTCTACTAACAAATAAGGCTGGTTGGACCGTTGTAGTGGTAGTTTGTTGTAAATCAATTAGATCATGTGTTAGAGAAAAAATTTACTGTTATATTTACCTTATTAAAGGTATTTACTTAGTAATAGTAGCATGTGGTTTGCCTGCTCCTTCATCCTGGCGTTTACAGCGGTAGTATTTCTTTCCTGTTCCTTTAACCCATCAATAATTGTGGTCCTGTTTGACTCATAAGCAAGCACACCAATTTAACCCATCAATATTCATGGGCTAGAGCTTAAAAGGTATGCATATGATTATCTTTCATCAACCGAATCTAGTAAGAAGGAAAACGACACCTTTAATTAAACACCATACCAGAAGAAATTGTCCTAGGAGTTCTGTTGATTGACATTGGAATATATATATAAAAAAGGATCATGGCATCACCTGTTATTAGAAAGCTATGAGAAAGTGTCATGTTTGACTAATGATACACGCCATATTAATTGGATGATCCATTCACATTTGTACTTTCATTTTCATTTGTCTACATGTGTTTGTTTTGCGTTTTGAACTTGAGTTGCTTGAAATATTGATTTTTTTTCTTTGCTGTCCTTTCTGACTTACTCCTATACATCTATACTAGGAAAACAGCAGATACAATAAGGGAAATGAAAAATATTCTGTTGGGAGTCCCAGGTCATTAGACTACAAAATCTAAAAAGAATAGATAAAACGGTTGTTTATCCAGTTTCTACTTTATGGAAGAAAGGGAACCTAGTGTCTTCAAAAGAAGATAAAGCGGCACAAACACCTACATATAGTCTTCAAACTGAAGAATTGCTGGTAGAAGGTCAATAAAATTGTATCATAAAGTTGGTGCTCAGTCAATAGTTGGAGAACATGAAACGAGCAAAGCTCCTGAAAAAGAAAATGTTCCCTGGGACAATTTATTGCTTGGGTTAAGCTAAGCAATACGGAAGTAGTATTTTAACAACCTTACTGATAATGCGACATTTATGCATGTCTTTTATTTTGGTGCAAAGATTTGTAAGTAGGTTGATATAACTCATAAGAATTTGAACAATGTTTTTATGTACCATATAAATTGTTAAATATGTTTCTTAAAAATATGCCTTGACCTTATTGACAAATGCTCTTCAGCTCTTGTTTTCATACATTAGGTTGATTCTACGACAAGTTTTGCAAACTTAACCTATTTGCACTGATAATATGGAATTTTGAGCAATATCGATTATGCTTAATTTTTGTTTGATTTAGCATCCGAGATTGTGAGCTGATTAAAACTTTACTTGCAGTGCAAGTGTCTTTGGAGTTTCAACAGAATCGATGCAGTGCTCCTATGATTCCAGAGGAAACAGTGTCCCAACAATTCTCTTGATGATGCAAAGACGTCTTTATGAACAAGGCGGTCTTCGGGTATGGCTTGTTAGATTTTAATTGATTTTAAAACTATTTAAATTGGTTACTGTTTTTGTTTTAATCAGTGTCTTTGTTTGTACTTTGCAGGCAGAAGGTATTTTTCGCATAAATGCAGAGAATAGCCAAGAAGAGCTTGTGAGAGACCAATTAAATGGTGGGATCGTGCCAGAGGGTATTGATGTCCACTGTTTGGCAGGTCTAATCAAAGTAAGCTTCTTTCTATTATTTTGAATTATGTGATTCCATTGACATCACCAGTATCCTGATCACATGTACAATACTTAGATAGCTGTTGATTATTGTCTGTACTGAACTAGTGGAATTTCACAAAAAGAAAAACACCTGGCAGAGAATCCAGACTTCCTATGGAACCTGATCATGTCCTTTCCATTTAGAAAGATTTTTTTCACAATTTATTATTTGTCAACACATACAAAATTGAGGCTGTGCTGTCAGCAATATTCTGTTGCAGAATCTAATATTTGCTTTTGGAAGCAGTTATAGGTGCGGTCACACAAATTTGATAACAAAGGTGTATTCCCACCCCATATATATTTTCGCATGTTTTCCAGGCCTGGTTTAGGGAACTCCCGAGTGGGGTGCTGGACTCAATCCCACCTGAACAGGTGATGCAATGCCAGTCTGAAGAGGACTGTGCTCGTGTTGCCAAATGCCTTCCACCAACTGAAGCAGCCTTACTAGACTGGGCTGTTAATTTGATGGCTGATGTTGTCCAAGAAGAGCAAATAAACAAGATGAATGCGCGCAATATTGCCATGGTTTTTGCACCAAATATGACTCAGGTAGTGTGTTATCCTATTGCGATCATGGTACTGATATTTCATTAGGTGGATTCTAACTGTTGTCACACATGTAATGCAGATGGCAGATCCCTTGACTGCATTGATGTATGCAGTACAAGTGATGAATTTTCTTAAGATGCTAATACAAAAAACCCTCAAGGATAGAGAAGAGTCTGATCTGGATGATTTGTCTCTTCCTCAGAAGGACCCGTCTGATGAAAATGGACACCAGACCACCGGCCTCTCGCTTGATTCTCACCCTGACGAAGGATCCAGGCGTCCCTCTTTCGTCAGCGAGGAGCCCCTTCTGAACAGTCCCGTGCACAGCACTGAAGAGAAACCTAATAAGACCAATCTTGCTGAAGGAAAATTTGCGGATTCCAGTTGCCCGGAAAATGTAGCCCTAACGAGCATGGAGACAGAGGGCTCTACTAGTTGCTCCCAACCTGCTCTGGCAGCAGCTGCCGCTGCTCCCCGTGCTACAGCTATGAACTTACTTCAAGGCAAAGGGAGCCGTAGCCTGAATAGTAGGAGGACTAGAAAGGGCAAGGTGCAGTTTGGAACACGTGCTGCTCCAGCATCTGAGAAATCAAAAGGTGCGAGCATTGTGAGCAGGATAAACTCAAAGGTTGAACGGATCGAAGCGTGGCGATGAAATCAGAAGTTGCCGCAAATTGTTGTTGTGAAGTAGATGACTGACCCAATGTTTCCTGTTTCCTGAAAATAGGACCAAGAGCTGTGTGCTTTGTGCATTTTGCATTTTTTGATGTGCTTATCATTTCTTGTTGGACCATGATCACGGTGTTTTTAGATCATTTTCTGTTGCTGCTAACTTATGTATCTTGTTTATGAGTACTACTGTTGTCTGAGTGAATCAAACAGACTGTTGCTTTCCCCTTGTACATAAATGTCTCCAATGCCTAAAATCTTAGCTATCTGAGAATTGTTCATGGATAATTATGTTGTGTACTTGTGTTTATTCTCATTTCATTGTGTACCTCTTTTTATCTCTCATTCTTCTGGAATCTGGTTGGATCAACCAACTGTTCCAGCATTTTCATCTTGTTTGCAAGTACTCTGTTCTCATATGTTTGAAAATTTAAGTTCTAAGTTTTGAACATTGGATCCTCGATTCCAATTCACATTGCGTTAATTCATCCACTTCATGTTTCTGAAAGTATCGTAATTTCCCTATACTGAACTATCTGAAATGTAACTCTCACCATCTTATCCATGTCCATCCATTGCATCATGTAGCTTTGTCCTACTCCCTCCTTCACGCTTTGTCCTAATCGTCAAAAAGAACAATAGTATAAGCAAGAAACACATCTATTGCAATTTCATCCAGACATCCAGGTACGCTTCAGAAAGAAAATTCAGACAGATAAGAGGCAGCCGAGAAATGCAAATTTCAGCTTGCTTTCTGCCTGTTCAGCTGTAAATGGGATGAATTGCACTCCATTGTTGTGACAGTCACATCCTTTATTCCCTGTCAGTTTTGAAAGCAGCTACACATTCCATCTTCAAGATCACTTCACAGCGGTGTGATTCTCAGTGACAAGAACACTACTGGTTGGGGAAAATCATCGCGCCATTATCAGATCAGTTCTTGCACCACGTGAAATTGGAATTGTTTTTTGACAGAACGAATGGAATTCTGTTCTAGTGATCTTATCAGAGTTTACATCACGGGGGAATATCCGGTGAAAACCATCGAATAAAACCGGACCTTTTTCACGGGTTTGATGGTTTTCACTGGATATTTCCACTGCATCATGGTCTACAATCATATCTCAGTCGCACACAGAAGTGGTAACTGAAGCATTTTTTTTATAATACAAATATTAGCCTCTACATCCAAAATACATGTGACCAAGTAAACTGTGTGTAAAAAGGGAGGAAAATACCTCCAAGGAACTGACATTAAGAGGAAGAATATGTGCCCTATCTCGAGACAGAGAGAACTCAGAAAATTGATCTAGCTTCTTACTTCATAGAGACATAAAAGCATATGGATCATGCATGCAAGTCACAGCAAGATCATGGCAAACATGAGGACAGGTCAACTCCTGTTCCAGAATCAGAATAGTGAAGCAACTGACGTGTCAAGTACAGATAACAGATTTCATGGGGCTCAGAGATGCCTCCTCTAGCTGCATTATTGCACACCTTTTACCTGCTAGTAGCTTCTGAATTCTGATCAAGCAAGCCAAAAAGTACTTATATTATATAAGATCCTGAATTCTGAACACCAACACTTGTGCTTGCAGCTTGCTGTTGCAGTGGCAGTCATACAGAAGTACAGAATCGAGTAGTAGTAGTAGCATTTGCAGGCAAAATGACAGGTCTCCTCAAGTAGTTGCTCTCCACTTGTGAGAAAATATTCCAATTCCACAGCCACATACATATGCCTGAATCTTTCTCAGCCTCTTCTTTTTCTCTCACAATATATATGATATATATATCTCTCTCTTCCTCTGAATTCATCAGAGAATTACTCAAATTTCTTCCTGCCCCAAAATTTGTCAGTCACAACACATATTTTATATACAAATACAAAACATTTTTTTCTGCAAATTGTCCATCTCTGACGCCTCATCTGAATTGACTGACGCCTTTTTGAGGTAAACGCAGTGACACATCTACTTAAGCACTTTGGCTGAAGCTTCTGCGGCATATCTTTTTTGCCGGTGCAAAGCTTTGGTTCTTGGCCGGTGGCGGCGGCGCGCATGGCGGCGGACGGCGGCGCGCTGAGGCGGCTGTTCGAGAAGCCGCTGCCGGTGCCGGAGAACCCGACGCTGCTGGAGGCGCTGTCGGCGTGCAACCATGTGCACCACCGCAAGAAGCTCGTCGACACGGCCTCCTTCACCGAGATCTTCGGCGAGCTCCACTTCCAGGAGAAGCCGGTGGACGTCGCCGCCGCCGCCCGGTTCCTGCCGCCGCCGCCGCCGCCTGTTCGCGCGGCGTCGTGGATCGACGTCGCCGACGACAAGAGCAAGGACGGCTCGTCCCTGGACGCGCTGCTCCGGCCGAAGTCGTCCGCCGTCAAGAGGAGCGCCAGCTTCTGCCTCAAGAGCTCCGAGTCGTCGCTGCTGCTCTGCACCGAGGGGCTCGGGACGGAGAGCACGGTGGACGCCGACGACATGGTCAAGGACGGCGACGGCGACGGCGAGGCCATCCGCCGTGGCGAGGAGGAGACGGACGGCGTGGAGGAGGACGACGGCGCGGGGAGGGAGAAGCGGGGCACGCCGACGCTGGCACCGACGCCGCCGACGTTCCCGCCGCCGATACGGTCGATCGGGCGCGGCGGGAAGCCGTGCGTGTGCTTCCGGTCGTTCCGGGCGGAGGGGAGGTTCGTGCTGATGGAGGTGGTGATCCCCGGGAAGGAGCTCCTGCAGGCGACGCGCGAGGGCGGTCGCCTCACGCTGCGCTTCGCCAACGCCGCGGCCGTGGGCGGCGGCGGCGAAGCAGACGACGATGTCAACGACGACGACGTCGATGGCGGCGAGACCAAGAATGCATGCGCAGCAAGAGATGATATGCTAGCTAATAACTGCACTTGTTAATTAAGAATTTAAGATGGCTGCAAGTTGCAACGAAGAACTTGATGCTTTTGAATATTTGATCGACGTGTGTCAAATCGCCATGCGTGAATCCAAGCAAACAGAAAAACAAGTTTGTTTCGAATCAAGGAGAAGAAGTTCATAAGTGGATCATTTCAGACCTTCATGGTTGATTCGGGGGAGCACCGGTTGAGTGGTATGGCATGGACTCATAATTTCTTTTAGAGCAATGCTACACGTACTAAATTTTTCTTACTAAACTTTTACTAACAATCATCTCAACCGTTTGATTTAAGTAGATGGAAGTTACAAAAAATCTAGATGCACTCGTAGCATAACACATCAGTGTTAGTAAGAATTTAGTAAGAAAAAGTTAGTACGTATAGCCTTTTCCTTTCTTTTAAGGTGAATATGACTGCCAGGTTTTGCCAAGCAGTATAAATTTTATAAATAAAAGGAGTTATCTACAAAGGAGCCACAAAGAAAATTGTTCTTACTCCCTCCATTTCGAAATGTTTGACACCGTTGACTTTTTAACACATATTTGACCGTTCGTCTTATTCAAAAACTTTTATGAAATATGTAAAATTATATGTCTACATAAAAATATATTTAACAATGAATCAAATGATAGGAAAAGAATTAATAATTACTTAAATTTTTTGAAAAAGACGAACGGTCAAACATGTGCTAAAAAGTCAACGGCGTCAAACATTTCGAAACGGAGGGAGTAGATTATAACCAATCAAACACTAATTGTTTTAAATAGTGCTTCATTCTGCACATATGTAGGAGAATCTCTCTCTTAAACTGATTTCTCCAAGCTTCGAAAGTTGGATGCACATTATGAAAGATTAGCATATTTCTCTGCTTCCAAATATGCCAGCAAGAATGGACTCATAGTTTTCATCCACTAGGATAAAAGGTATCCTATTCGCGTATATAAGATTTTAATAGGATTTTAGTAAGGCTAGGATTATAACTTTACTTCATTGTCATGTCAAAAAAAGTTACAAGAACATCATGAAAGCATTTTTAATAACAAGATCACTAGCTTCTATCTCTTGGGAAATTTGACCTCTCCGTATGCAAACCGGGAGGAGATCATGCACGGTCATTTCCGCCCGTTGCTTGCACGATCAACGCGATCAATTAAGGTTACTTATTAGCACATGATTAATTAAGTATTAGCTAAACATTTGAAATATATATTAATATGATTTTTTTACAATAACTTTCCTATAATTTTTTATTACAAAAATCACATTGTTTAGTAATTCGGGAGGTGTACATGTGGTAAACGAGGAAGTGAAGGTTGGGAATCTTCACTTAAGAACACGACCTAACACATTGATCGGTAATGCCAAAACTTGCCCTCCTCCCTCAGCAACATATTAATAGGGGAGATCAATGCTGTGTCGTGGTGATAGTCACTTCACGATAATCTTCTGCCCGAAACCATAAAACCTCTTACGACCCCAATTACTTGTGTTGGAGGGAGAACTTGCGATTGTCCTAGGGCATTGTAGATGGCCCTCGGAAGGCCTCTATGGAATCAAACCGCGATCACTTTGTCTGCGCTACTGCTATAACACAAATATTGCACTAATGGCTTACCTATCAGTTTTTTACTTTTAAATTCCGCATATATTAGGATGATAATGTTTAGGCTAAACAATTAGATTAGTATATTAGATAATTTACAATATCATTTTTATGTACCAAAACTATAGTATTTCATCTCTTTTAAATAGTAGTTGTCGTTTTAATTAGCTTTTGTTTTAAGTCGATCATTAAATTATAAAGATATATATAGTTTTACATTACAAGATTAATTTATATTTTGGATATACTATGCGAAATACTTTCTTCATATATACCACATAATTTTATTTTATTAAACTAATGAATTAACATGAATTGATAGTCAAAATTAAAGATGTCTATCTTAGAACGAAGCTAAGACGATAATTAATTAATTTGAGTACGTGTCTATGTGACCGGCCGGTAATTAAGGCGCAAGAGTAAATTGATGCAGTAGGTAATCGCTCAAGCATACATATCTTCTGTGCTGCATTTCACGCACAAAATCCGATCGAGCGAGTCTGATGCCAACATCTACTAATTCAGATTCTTGCTAGCTAGGTATAGCTCGGGCCCAACGCTTGGTGCCATTATCTGAAAATGAAAGAAAGCATGGCCACACGCACTAAAAATTCATCCAGGAATTTTTGGGCGTCAAAATACATTTCATTTGCGTTGAATGGTTTTACTACTCGACTGGTCATATTTATCTGACGTCAGGAGTACATGAAATTGATAAGTTTTTTTTATGAGTACAAGTTAGAACGCGTGCGTGCATACATACCATACCCATGCCTATGTACACCTTTGTGGTGCATATACTAGCACATGCCAAATAAAAAAAAGATCCGATATCACATAGCATGGGTATGCACGCCCGTGTGCATGTACTCCCTCTGTCCTAAAATATAATAATTTAGAACCCGGATGGGATATTTTCTAATACTACGAATTTAGACAGACATATTAAGAGAACTATTTTGGGACGAAGGGATATTGCTGTACATGAGATTAAATTTTAGTAAAATATGAGCACATGTGAAAAATAGAAAATAACGAATCAAACTAAAAGTCGCAAGTTAAATTAAGAGAACTATTGTACATAAAGAAAACCTTACGGAGTTAAAACAATTACGTTAAGATAATACAATTAGACTGCTCCTAGCCTCTTCACAATTAGGATGAACACAATCTATGCCTTTTTTTTTTAAAAAAAAGAGAAGGACGATATGATCACAAATGTGATGGCACTAGTACAGAAATCGTTTTTTCCAGGCAGCCCAAAAGGCATTTTCGCGTGTGGAAGGCTGACCTGTCTGCCCAGGATGGTCTGTGAAGATCATCATCTTTGCGTGTGGGCTGCTCAACTACACACGAATATATATATTCGCAGGCAGGCCGCTTAACGCGACCGCACACGAAGATCGAGTATCTTTATTTTACAACCAAAAAGGTTTCTTTATTTTACAACTAATATGTACATCATTATAATTAAGATAGTATATATTGTACTCATTGTACACAATCTTATAGCTCATCCGTTATATAAATTAATCTAATAACTGACAAATATAAAATTTTAGGTCGACCACTAATTAACAAATAGAGCAAGATGTACATCTTGATTTATATATTATTCTACTACTTCGCAACCTCAAACCCTTTTGAAACTGTCATGATCTTGTATCTTAATTTCTGGTCCTACTATACCCCCCTTTTCTTTTTCTTTAAAATGAAAAGCATTTATGCCCTTTTTTCTGGCTCACTGTACGTCACACTGTATACTACGTGAGATGCTACAAACAGGGCTTGACTCGATCGGCTGTCCCTTCTTCTTTTCCTTGATGAAAGAACCCTGCAACTGACAAACAGGAAAAGTTTGGAGAAAAAGGCAGGGATCGATGTAAACTTGCTGGAGCTTTTCGATGCAGTGAGAAGGTCGTAGCTATCGATCGATTTCCTTTCTATTTCTTTTAAAAGAAAAGAATTCATTTGAGACATTGAGGTAGCTATCGATGGTGCAATGGAGCTAGCTAGATTTCTCCTTACATTTTCTGCCTTTCAAGTTTAGATATTCCCATGGATATATATGGAGTTGGACCATGGTTGTAAATGTCCGCGGTGCGCAATTCTCTATGTCCATATCATACTTCCTCTATAAAAAAAAAACCAATCTAAAATTGGATTCTTTTTACATAGCTGGATTTTTTTTACATAGGTTTAGGGTTAGCCTCGGACCAGATGACCACCATCGGTTGGCATATGCTATAGCATATCAACACAACCAGGCTGATGCTTATCAGCATAAGCTTTTCTATCATCTGATGCTACAGTCCAAGGAGCCAACCAATAGGCTGTAGCTGAAAATCAGCCAACCGATGAGGCCGATAACTTCTTATTTGGCCTAAGAGAAAATTATATGGTGAAAATGTATGGTTCTTTATGGGCTTTCATGCCTAGGCCCTGGACCATGGCCCAGGTGGCCCGGGATCAGACATTCAGAACTGAGACCGTCATTGACCAGAGCTTCTCTCTTGGCCGGCCTTTAATTTGTCGCTGCCGAATTCTTCCACAATCAACGACTGTTCGTCATCACTAACCTCGCGGCACAGAAGGATTAATTCGTAGCACTAATACAGAATTGATTATTACTGCAATATAACAGAAAAATAAATCAGTAACAATTCTAAATAATTTAACACTGCCAGATTAATTTACCATTCATCAGCAAGCATCGATATTGAAAACCAACCTTTCATGGCCTGCAGATCAAACACATAACCCCTGAACAATCTCGTTGCCATCAATATTCGGCTCAAACGCCAAAGAGTAAGGGTGCGATCCTGATCATAAACCTCATCCAGTTAGCTGGATAGGAGATCAAGATGGAAATTAAGTCGACTAATTGCAATATCGCGTGGTTATCTTATAGATATCGTGATGATCTCGTGGTAACTTTCTCATTTTTAAAACCTCATGGTTTTCCACGATAACTAAGTACCGTAGTAATTATCATGATATCGCTGAGTAGCAGTAGCCATCATAAAAAGGGTAAGGAAGACGATGGCTGATGCAATCGATCTGGTGAGCTTTGAACTGAATTAATCAAAATTACTAGTAGTTAATTACTCTATTTGTTTCATATTATAAGCCGTTTTGAAATTTTTTTTAATTTAAGTTTGATTAAGTTTATAAAAAATATAGTGACATAACATAAAATAAATATATTATCAAAATATATTCAATGTTAGACTTAATAAAACCAATTTGGTGTTTTAGATGTTGCCAAATTCTTTTTACAAATTTAATTAAACTTTGAAAAATTTAACTAGGAAAACAATCAAAACGAAATGAAACGGAGTAAGCGCTATCCTGAGACTTTCTGATCAGGCAGCTGCAGGCAACAAAGCGTGTTGATTCAGCAATTAACTGCGATACTATCATTATTATCAACTTTACTTTTAATTAGACATTGTCATAACACACATGCATGGATCATTGAAAAATTAATAGGCCATTTGGAACAAATATACGAAAGAGACCCACTTATAATTAATTAAGTTTTATAAAAAAGTAATTTAAAAAGTTCGGAACCCTTCCCACCCAGTAAAAAAACGAAGCAGTGGATTAACTTATTAATTAAATATTAATTAATACGATTTTTTAAAGCAACTCGACCATATAATTTTTTATAAAAAAATACAGTTTAGCACTTGTGAAACGAGAGAAAGATGAAAAAGATCGGCATGCATGACAGGCATGCACTAAAATAATCTAACTAATTACTCGGCCAACCGGTTGCTGGGAACATAACTTGAATCCATCCACTAATCCATCAAATTAAAATATTAAAGAGTTTCTTGCCCAGAAGCAATCTACCAAGACGAGGACTTCAGAGGAGAGATGAACCAGTCGCTATAGATCGATCTTCTAGTTGACCACTTCAGAAACATCTAACGCTCAGAGGCTATAAATATGGCTGCATCCTTTCCATATGGCCAAAGCATCAGATATAGCTCCATACACAAAACAACAATCGACTACTTCTACAGGATCTGTAGATCAAGAGCAAAAGTTCCATCAACTTAAACATGGCCGCCTCCAACTTCTTTCTTCTCACAGCTTTCATTGCTTTGGTCGCTACTCAGGCCATGGCTTCTGATCCTAGTCCTCTTCAGGACTTTTGTGTTGCCGACAAGCACTCGCCAGATATATTATTTTATCACTGATCATGCAATTGCATCAAATTGATTACACATTCATGTTGTACATATACATGTTTCTAGCTTCCGATCTGACCATTGTATGTTCTTCAATGCAGTACGTGTCAATGGGTTACCCTGCAAGGATGCAAAGGATGTGAGTGTTGATGACTTCTTCCTAGCAGCTAACCTTGACAAGCCGATGGACACAACCAAGAGCAAGGCTGGATCCAATGTTACATTGATCAACGTGATGAAACTCGCAGGTCTCAACACCCTTAGCATCTCCATGGCAAGGATCGACTATGCTCCCAAAGGACAAAACCCACCACACACGCACCCTCGTGCTACTGAGATCCTAACCGTTCTTGAGGGCTCACTCTATGTTGGTTTTGTTACATCTAACCAAGCAAACAGAGAAAACAAGCTCTTCACCAAAACACTTAACAAGGGTGATGTCTTCGTGTTCCCACAGGGTCTTATTCACTTTCAGTTTAATCCAAGCTATGATAAGCCTGCAGTTGCCATTGCTGCACTTAGCAGCCAAAATCCTGGGGCAATTACCATTGCTAATGCAGTATTTGGATCACATCCACCAATTTCAGATGATGTTCTTGCTAAGGCATTTCAAGTGGACAAAAAAGCCATGGATTGGCTCCAAGCTCAGTTCTGGGAGAACAACCATAACTAAATTATTGATGCTTGATAAGGTTCAGAATTAGTGATTGGTATAAAAAGGATTTGTTGATTATTATATTAGCCAAAGGCTATATACTTCATGTAATCCTAAACTCGATATTTATACAATTCTTTTTACGAATAATGTATAACAGTACGCACATATATATGTTACATTATGTATGGTCTGGGGTATTAATTTAATATAGTTGATTTCTTGGGTATTTTTTAACACTCATAAAGATGGATAATTAAAATCATATTATAGTAGGGATGCATTTCCCTCGTTCAATACTTATATTTGTTATGTAGCTCACATGATCATAGTACTCATCCAAATTAATCTATTCTTTTTCAATTCTTGTGATTATCATGAAAATTTGAACGCTTCAAAAACATATAAAATTTGTTTTTAGATGTGAACCAAATTCATTTATATATAACCGTTAGTTACTGACAAAACCAACAAAATAAATTCAAACAAATTATCTACAAATGAATTTTTGTTTGATTTTTTTATAACTAGCAAATCTAAAAGTATGATAAACATATTATAATGAATCAGGAAACAATTGTGTTTCACGTATCATCATGTCTGACAAATCATAATTAAAATTTCCAAATACAGAAAAAAAGAAAAATCTAACAATTCACCATCGCCCGTTCTCGTCGCTGGCATTGCTTAAACTCATGCCTCTGACACTAATTAAGTTGTAGTAAAAAAAATTAGAAGATTTGGTTTCTGCTCGTATGAAAGAGTACAATAATAAGCAATTTTGATAAAAGTACATATACTACACGTAATTCAATTGGTCATATATCCATCATATCTCTATTATTATAAAAATTGAATATGTTTTTGCCGGTATTTTGTTATATCATCCGTGTATGAGTTGGTTTTTAAGTTCGTTTGCTTTTGAAAATAAATATTCGTATTTGAATTGGTTTTTAAGATCGTTCACTTTTAGAAATACAGAAGAAACCATATAAGAAATCTGTTTAAAAAAAACTCGCATACTAACTTGAGACGATCGGACGTCTAACTGCAGCTCATGATTTTCTATATATATATATATATATATATATATATATATCCAAGCGAACTGCTACAGTGAATTTCATCTTAACTAAATCATATAATAGTAATAAGATTAAAATAAACTTTACCCGTTACAACGCACGAGCAATTTTTCTAGTATATATCAAGTTAACAACTCTGCTCCAGCACATGCTGAAGAGGAAGGAAGAGATCGAGTTCGATCGGGCTAATTAACAGAAAGAAAGGGCATAATAGTTTTACTAATCTCTTTTTACCAGTTAAAACTACTACTATAATGTTTTTAGAACGGATGAATTATAATATAGTGCGCGCGAAAAGGACAAATATTTCCATTATTGGAACTATTTCTTTATCTAACCCTGTTTGGGTATCCAGCTGATCGACCAGGAGAATGACGAGCCGCCGGCCGATGTGATCGATCGATCGATCAGCCGGTGATAGAGCTTTGAACTGAAATAATCAAAACTACAAATTAGTTGAAACTGTCTCAGGGCAACGGGGAGCATGTTGATCGATTCAGCAATTACCGATATCCTTTTTAATTAGCATGCATGTGTGCTAGCTCTTGAAAAATCAGACCTTATTATATTGATGTAACACACATGCATGCTTAATACGCGGAGATCATTGACAAATTAAAAGGGCCATATGGAACAAAGTTACTAAAGGAGTAAAGAGGCCAAGTATACGTACGTTACATAGAGAGAAGACATGGTCATATGTTTATCTGCACCTGATACTGTATAACACAGCCAGGCTTCATCATCAATCTAATGCATGCATGACAGGCACTAAAATAATCTAATTGATTAACTAATCGGTCACCGTGTTGCTGGGAAGACAACTTGAATCCATCCACTAATCCATCAAATTAAATAAGTTCTTGCCCAGATGCAAATCTATCAAGACCGGTTCAGACTTTAGAGCAGATGAACAAGTCGTTAGTTCAGCCTTTTTTTATTTTTCTTATTGACCACTTCAGAATCACCTCATTCTCAGAGGCCTATATATATGGATGCATCCTTTCCTGGCCAAAAACCATCAGCTAGCTGTAGCTCCATATACACAACAAGCTAGCATCGAGTAATACTTCTGCAGAAGCAACAGTTCCATCAACTTAAACATGGCCTCCTCCAACTTTTTTCTTCTCATACCTCTCATCGCTTTGGTCACTACTCAGGCCATGGCTTCTGATCCTAGTCCTCTTCAGGACCTCTGTGTTGCCGACAAGAACTCACCAGGTATAGTTTTTCGTCATCGATCATCCAATTGCATCAAATTGATGATTATCTCAAACATCCGTAATGTGTATATATAAGTTTCTAGGTTTCTGACCCATATATGTTTTTCAATATGCAGTGCGTGTCAATGGGTTCCCTTGCAAGGATGCTAAGGATGTGAGTGTCGATGACTTCTTCCTAGCAGCTAACCTCGACAAGCCGATGGACATAACCAAGAGCAAGGCTGGATCCAACGTTACCTTAATCAATGTGATGAAACTTGCAGGTCTCAACACCCTTGGTATCTCCATGGCGAGGATCGACTATGCTCCTAAAGGACAAAACCCACCCCACACACACCCTCGTGCCACTGAGATCCTAAGTGTAATTGAGGGCTCACTTTATGTTGGATTTGTTACATCTAACCAAGCAAACGGAGAAAACAAGCTCTTCACCAAGACACTCAACAAAGGAGATGTCTTTGTGTTCCCAGAGGGTCTCATTCACTTCCAGTTCAATCCAAGTTATGATAAGCCGGCAGCTGCTATCGTTGCACTTAGTAGCCAAAACCCTGGGGCGATTACCATTGCTAATGCAGTATTTGGATCAAATCCACCAATCTCGGATGATGTTCTTGCTAAGGCATTTCAAGTGGACAAAAAGGCAGTGGATTGGCTACAAGCTCAATTTTGGGAGAATAACCATAACTAAATTAAATTATTGATGCTTATCTGTTGAAAATTAGTTATCTGTAGTAAAATGGTTTGTTGATTGTTAGTAGCTAAAAATTGTATACTTCATGTTATCCTAAAAATATGTTATTTGATTCTTTTTACGAAATAATGTATACCACTACGCACATATACATATGTTACGTGATGTATGATCTGGGATATTAATTTAATATATTTGATTTCTTGGTACCTTTTTAACACTGAATGATACATAATTAAAATCATATTACTAGGGATGTATTGCCCTCGTTCAGTACTTATATTTGTTGTGTTGCTCACAAGATCGTAACAAGCATCCAAATTAGTCTCTTCTTTTTCAATTCTTGTAGTTATCATGCTTGAGAAACATAAAAAAAATGTTTGTACATGCGAACTAAATTCCTTTATATATAACCATGCATTAATTACTTTAAAAACCAATATAATATAAACAAATTATGTAAGAAATGAAATTTTGTTTGATTTTTTATTACTTCGCTAGTTTAGTGAGCGGTTTATAGGTGTGAATTGTTTAATAACTAGTGAATGGTTTATAGGTGTGAACCGTTCAATAACTCTAATAATCAACATGTAGTGTCTTACTTTCAAATCTACGATTCAGTAGAGGTGACGATACACACCACTCGAGACTCAAGAGTTTATTACTCTTTTGAATGTAGTAATTTCATAAGATTTTCACAAAAAAATCGTTCAATTCTTACGAGTATACTTCACAATTACCACGCACGTTCTAAAGAACCCCTTGAAGGCCATCTGATCCTAAATCTCATTTGGCCAACAATGGAGTTGGTGACCTAATCGATCGTACATGAAACAACATTACAATGAACTGAAGACAAAAATATGAAACAACATTAAAATGCCTAGTACAACATTACAATCTAACAAAAAGAAACATGAAAAACATTGGCTTAAACATTAGAAATTTTAAACATTAAAAAAACTGTATCGGCTATATCTGACTTCCTCCTCCCCTCCAATGGTTGGATCGGGCTTTCTTCGACAACCTCAAACGCTGCAATGTGATGACCCGGTGATTCTTTCTATAAATGACCTTGACTTCCTTGTTGTCAACTGCGATGGCATGACCACCACTTGCTCCGTCCGCTGCTTCTCTACGATAGGTTTCCCTCCTCCTCGCTGTCGTCGTTGTAGTTGTCCTCCCGTTGCCATCGGCATCGGCTACCCTTATGGTGACATGTCATCATCGCCACATCAAAGCCTTGGTGGGAGATAGAGACAGACACACAGAGAGAGAGAGAGTAGAGTAATCAAGTGCGCGATAAGGGGGAGAGATGTGAGTGAGACAAGGGAGAGAGAAATGATTGAATGAGTGGATGGGAATGATTGGCAGGAAGCCGGTTTTTTTCTCCTAGATCCAGTGCCCAGCTTGGAGCGTTTTCACTAGAACTATACTTTTTTATACTTTTTTGGGAAATTGCTAAAAAAACTAATCACAATTTCATTTTGGTAAATGCTTTCAAATATAACTATGGTATAGTTGTAGTAACTATAATATAATTACACTATACTTACATTGTAACTACATTGTAATTACAATATACCTACATTCTAATCTCTATATAACTTAGCTGTAAAGTTGCATATTTTTTTAATCTTTACAAGTTACATTGTAGTTATAGTATAATTATTGTAGAATTATAGTACAACTATACTGCAGTTATATTTGAGAGTTTTTCACTTTAAAAAATTGTGGTACCTTTTTTTAGATAATCCCTTTTTTATGCAAAACACACTCCTGAAGATAGAGGAAGGATAATATAACAAGCGCTAAAAAGATAAATATTTCTATATATTGGAAGCTAGTATTTGTTTTAACTCCTCTCCTAGCTATCCATATGCAGCTGGCCAGGGGAATGAAGAGCCGCCGGCCGATGTAATTGATGATGTAATTGATCTGGTGAGCTTTGAACTGAATTAACCAAACTACCAATAGTTATTAGCTTGAAACTGTCTCGGCAGCTGCAGGCAACAGAGAGCGTGTTGATATATTCAGCAATTAACTGCAATACTGACATTATCAACTTCCCTTTTAATTAGCATGGGTGCTAGCTCTTGACTAATTAATCAGACATTCAGACGTTATATTGCCATAACACACATGGATGCCTGAATATGCGGAGACGAAAGGGACCAAGTATACTTTACATGGATAGAGAAGACATGGTCAATCTACTCGTTAACGTACATTCACGGTTATTTTTGTTACAACTTGAATGTCATATTAAACTTGTATTGTATATTTGTAAAGAGATATATTTTAATTTAATTTAATTATCTTATCATTTTTTTAAATCTTCTTGAGAGATAAAAATCCATCTCCCTATCTTTATCATAATATGAGCCTGTTCACTTTGATGCCATTTTCTGATAAAGTTGCTAAAATTTTAACTACGTTTAGTTTGTTGCTAAATTTTTAGTAAGCACATATAAAATCTTGCCAAAATTTAGCAACCTTGTTAAAATTTTAGCAAACATACCAAAATTTAGCAATGCTAAAACTTGGTAAGGTTGAAAATGGTAGTAAAGTGCTCTGTGTTTCTATTCACCTGATAACAAAGACAGCCAAGACATCATCAATCTAATGCATGCATCATGCATGACAGGCACTGGAATAATCTAATTAATTAATTAGTCGGCCAACCTAGCTGTTGACTGGGAATTAAGATAGCTTGAATCCATCAAATTAAATAGTTTCTTTCCCAGATGCAATCATTAAGAGTTCAAGACCAGTTCAGACTTCTGAGGAGATGAACAAGTCACTAGCTAGCTCATCCTTTTCTTATTGACCACTTCAGAATCATTTCATGCTCAGAGGCCTATATATATGGATGCTTCCATGGACAAAAGCATAGACTACAGCTATACAAGAAGCATCGACCACTACTTGTACACAAGCAAAAGTTCCATCAACTTAACATGGCCTCCTCGAACTTCTTTCTTCTCACAGCTCTCATCGCTTTGGTCGCTACTCAGGCCATGGCTTCTGATCCCAGTCCTCTTCAGGACTTCTGCGTTGCCGACAGGAACTCTCCAGGTAGTGTACTTCTTCACTGATCATGCAGTTACATCAGATTAACAATGATATGAGATATTCATGTTGTACATATATATGTTTCTAGCTTTCGATCTGACCTTTGTATGTTCTTCAATGTAGTACATGTCAATGGGTTCCCTTGCAAGGATGCTAAAGATGTGAATGTTGATGACTTCTTCCTAGCAGCTAACCTCGACAAGCCGATGGACACAACCAAGAGCAAGGCTGGATCCAATGTTACATTGATCAATGTGATGAAACTCGCAGGTCTCAACACCCTTGGCATCTCCATGGCAAGGATCGACTATGCTCCTAAAGGGCAAAACCCACCACACACGCATCCCCGTGCTACCGAGATCCTAACTGTTCTTGAGGGTACACTCTATGTTGGTTTTGTTACATCGAACCAAGCAAACGGAGAAAACAAGCTCTTCACCAAGACACTTAACAAGGGTGATGTCTTCGTGTTCCCACAAGGTCTCATTCACTTCCAGTTCAATCCAAGCTATGATAAGCCAGCAGTTGCCATCGCTGCACTTAGCAGCCAGAACCCTGGAGCGATTACCATTGCTAATGCAGTATTTGGATCAAATTCACCAATCTCGGATGACGTTCTTGCTAAGGCATTTCAGGTGGACAAGAAAGCTGTGGATTGGCTCCAAGCTCAGTTCTGGGAGAACAACCATAACTAAATTATTGATGCTTGATAAGGTTCAAAACTAGTGATTGGTAGTAAAAAGAGTTTGTTGATTATTATATTAGCTAAATATTGTATACTTCATGTAATCCTAAACTCGATATTTTATATGATTCTTTTTATGAATAATGTATATCAGTACACATATATATTTGTCACATGATGTATGATCTGGGGTATTAATTTAATATCGTTGATTTCTTGGGTACTTTTTTAACACTCATAAAGATGGATAATTAAAATCATATTACTGGGGAAGCATTGCCCTAGCTAGTTCAGTACTTATATTTCTTATGTTGTTCACAAGCTCATAGCACTCATCCAAATTAATCTATTCTTTCTCAATTATCCCTACATGCTTGAGAAAGATAACAAAAATGTTTGTACATGCGAACTAAATTCCTTTATACATGACCATTAATTACTTTAAAAACCAACAAAATCTAAACAAATTATGTAAGAAATGAAATTTTGGTTGACTTTTTATTGCTTGGCTAGCTTAGTGGGCGGTTTATAGATGTGAACTGTTCAATAACTAGTAAACGGTTTATAGGTGTGAACCATTCAATAACTCCAATAATCAACCTGTAGTGTCTTACTTTCAAACCTACGATTTGCTCAAGACTCAAGAGTTTATTACTCCTTTGAATGTAGGAATTTCACACTTTACAATTACCACGCACGTCCTAAAGAACCCCTTAAAGACCATCTGATCCTGAATCTCATTTGGCCAACAACGGAGTTGGTGACCTAATCGATCGGACATGAAACGACATTACAATGAACTGAAGACAAAAATATGAAACAACATTAAAATTCCTAGTACAACATTACAATCTAACAAAAAGAAACATAAAAAAAACATTGGCTTAAACATTAGAAATTTTAAACATTAAAAAAAATGTATTGGCTATATATGACTTCCTCCTCCCCTCTAATGGTTGGATCGGGCTTTCTTCGACAACCTCAAACGCTGCAATGTGATGACCCGGTGATTCTTTCCATAAATGACCTTGACTTGTTGTCAGCTACGATGGCGTGACCACCACTTGCTCCATCTGCTGCTTTGCCACGATGGGTTGCTCTCCTCCTCGTTGTCGTCGTTGTAGTTGATCCTCCCGTTGCCATCGGCGCTAGCTGCCCTTATGGGGACGCGTCATCGCTGCATCAAAGCCTCGGTGGGAGACACACACACACACAGAGAGAGAGAGAGAGAGAGATAGTAGAGTAAGCGAGTGCGCGATAAGGGAGAGAGATGCGAGCGAGACAAGGGAGAGAGAAATACTTGAATGAGTGGATGGGAATGATTGGCGGGGAGCCGGTTTTTTCTCCCAGATCCAACGCCCGGCTTGAAGTGTTTTCACTAAATCTATATTTTGGAAATTGCTAAAAAAAAACTGTCGCAATTTTTTTTTGGTAAAAGCTTTCAAATATAACTATGGCATAGTTGTAGTATAACTATAATATAATTACACTATAGTTACATTGTAACTACATTGTACTTACAATATGCTTACATTCTAATCTTGATATAACTTAGCTATAAAGTTGCATATTTTTTAATCCTTACAAGTCACATTGTAGTTATAGTATAATTATTGTAGAATTAAATTACAACTATACTACAATTATATTTGAAAGTTTTTTACTTAAAAAAATTGTGGTACTTTTTTTTTATAATCCCTTTTTTTATATACAAAACACACTCCTGGAGACACAGGAAGTATAATATAAGAAGCGCTAAAAAGATAAATATTTCCATATAGGGTATGTTTAGCAAATAGGATATGGGAGGTCGGATTGGGAAATGGAAATAGATGAATGGCTAGGATTAAATAAAGTGTGAAGAATGGATGGCTAAGATGCAATGTTGCCTTTTGGAGGGTGGGATATTATTTCTCAATCCTATTTGCCAAACACAGCCATATTGGAAGCTAGTATTTGTTTTAACTCCTCTCCTAGCTATCCATATGCATCTGGCCAGGAGAATGAAGAGCCGGCGGCCGATGTAATTGATGATGTAATTGATCTGTTGAGCTTTCAACTGAATTAACCAAAGTACCATTAGTTATTAGCTTGAAACTGTCTCGGCAGCTGTAGGCAACAGAGAGCGTGTTGATATATTCAGCAATTAACTGCAATACTGACATTATCAACTTCCCTTTTAATTAGCATGTGTGCTAGCTCTTGACTAATTAATCAGACATTCAGACGTTATATTCCCGTAACACACATGGATGCCTGAATATGCAGAGACGAAAGGGACCAAGTATATTTTACATGGATAGAGAAGACATGGTCAATCTACTCGGTTCTTAGTAATAGTTAACGTACATTCACGGTTATTTTTTTACAACTTATAGGTGTCGTATCAAACTTGTATGTTTGTAAAGGGATATATTTTAATTTAATTTAATTGTCTTATCATTTTTTTAAAATCTTCTTGAGAGATAAAATTCATCTCCCTATCTTTATCATAATATGTTTCTCTGCACCTGATAACAGAGCCAGGCAAGACATAATAAATCTAATGCATGCATCATGCATGACAGGCACTGGAATAATCTAATTAATTAATTAGTCGGCCAACCTAGCTGTTGACTGGGAATTAAGATAGATTGAATCCATCAAATTAAATAGTTTCTTTCCCAGATGCAATCTATTAAGAGTTCAAGATCAGTTCAGACTTTAGAGGAGATGAACCAGTCACAAGCTAGCTCAGCCTTTTGTTATTGACCACTTCAAAATCATCTCATGCTCAGAGGCCTATATATATGGATGCATCATTTCCATGGGCAAAGCATCAACTATAGCTATACAAGAATCATCGACCACTACTTGTACACAAGCAAAAGTTCCATCAACTTAACATGGCCTCCTCCAACTTCTTTCTTCCCACAGCTCTCATCGCTTTGGTCGCTACTCAGGCCATGGCTTTTGATCCCAGTCCTCTTCAGGACTTCTGCGTTGCCGACAGGAACTCTCCAGGTAGTGTACTTCTTCACTGATCATGCGGTTACATCAGATTAACAATGATCCGAGACATTCATGTTGTACATATATATGTTTCTAGCTTTTGATCTGACCTTTGTATGTTCTTCAATGCAGTACGTGTCAATGGGTTCCCCTGCAAGGATGCTAAGGATGTGAATGTTGATGACTTCTTCCTAGAAGCTAACCTCGACAAGCCGATGGACACAACCAAGAGCAAGGCTGGATCCAATGTTACATTGATCAACGTGATGAAACTCACAGGTCTCAACACCCTTGGCATCTCCATGGCAAGGATCGACTATGCTCCTAAAGGGCAAAACCCACCACACACGCATCCCCGTGCTACCGAGATCCTAACGGTTTTTGAGGGTACACTCTATGTTGGTTTTGTTACATCGAACCAAGCAAACGGAGAAAACAAGCTATTCACCAAGACACTTAACAAGGGTGATGTCTTCGTGTTCCCACAAGGTCTCATTCACTTCCAGTTCAATCCAAGCTATGATAAGCCAGCAGTTGCCATCGCTGCACTTAGCAGCCAGAATCCTGGAGCGATTACCATTGCTAATGCAGTATTTGGATCAAATCCACCAATCTCGGATGATGTTCTTGCTAAGGCATTTCAAGTGGATAAGAAGGCCGTGGATTGGCTCCAAGCTCAATTCTGGGAGAACAACCACAACTAAATTATTGATGCTTGATAAGGCTCAAAATTAGTGATTGCTAGTAAAAATGTTTTGTTGATTGTTGTTAGCTAAATATTGTATACTGTATAACACTACGCATCAATAATGTATAACACTACGCACATATATATGTTACAAGATGTATGATCTATGGAATTACTTTAATATATTTGATTTCTTGGTACTTTTTACACTCGTAATGACGAAGAATTAAATTCGTATTACTGGGATGTATTGCCCTCGCTCAGTGCTTTTGTGTTGTCGCTCACAAGATCGTAACACATTCAAATTAATCTATTCTTTCTCAATTCCTGTGGTTATCATCTAAATTTGAATGTTGAAGGAACATACAAAATTTGTTTATAAATAGGAACCAAATTCGTTTATACATAACCATTAATTACTGACAAGAACAAACAAAATTGCAATATAGTTTCCATACGACGACGACGCCAAGAGACACGCCTCCGTGGACCCTGTATTCGGGCTTCAAGCGCCTTCTCGGCAAAGGGTTATGGAAATTAATACTTATGGGGTTTTAACAGTTTTAACTTAAAAAATTGATTTTAACTTTAGAGAGAATCTAATAAATGTTATTGACAAGCACCATATTTCAAAAAATACCAATGTACAAATCAACTTGTCACCTACTACTAATTAAGCATGGCAGGCATGATCTGGACCATCGGCTGTGGATTAGGCCCATCACCAACGACGACATAGATAATCTACCGGAGCAATTGACTTTCATCATTTGGAAGAATGGTAGTGCCACAGAGAACCAACAAATTAATCAGTTAATCTGAACACTTGACACTTGCAGGCACTACAACAACAAAGCTCAACACCACTAGTACAGAACAGCATGTGTGTTTCAGTCTAAAATACTGCAAATCTGCAATGCAACTGAACTGCTTCAGATAGTAGCATAGTGCTCTGTACAGATCCAGATGGAAATGTAGAACTCCGTGTTATCACAAACAATTACTACATTGTCTTTTCGGACAACTGTCTTGCAACCCTGTAGAACATCTATGCCATCTCCCCCATAAGGAATGTACAGGAGAACGAAAAAAATGCGATGACAAATGTATATTAACTGTATCCTATAGCTATGACAATGATGAGTTTCTAGATGGCGAATCTATGGCTTCAGCGGTAAACGAAAACGCCTGGCAAGGTTTCCTTTGTATATCATACTTGCATCACCAGAAAAACTTCACAGAAGAAATTGTCATATAAATCGCAGATCACATACTATTTCTCACTGCCATCCTTCTCGTCTAATGCTCCACTAGGCTTCTCAGACCTTACTGGAAGAACGCTCCGCCGCTCTTTGCCACCTGGTTTCGCTGATGCGTTCCCATACCATATCATCCCAACAACAGCGAGGATCATCCCAAGGACTACCTGAAAATTCAGACCTTCCTTGCCAAAGAAGAGAAACCCAAGGGACAACACGAGCACTGTCTTCATGTGGCCCAGGACTTGGAAGGATACGGCAGAAAACCGACCAATGCAGATGAATTGGCTCAGATTAACACCAATGGCAATGACACATGAGAGAGTCAGGAAAAACTGCAGAATGATAAAAATGCCATCGTAAGATAAAATGGAAAATATGAGGTCAAATACATACAAACAAATCAAACATGCACTCAAATTCATCAATATTCTAATCAAGTACAGTTTACCTATAGATTACTAAAAAGCAAGACATTGCACACAAAAGGAAAGCTATAGACTATAGTTGTTTGAAGTTACAGATAACGAGCAATGCTGTAAAGTAAAGACTTCTTTGGTCACAAGATATAACATAATGCTAGTCTAGGCCATTTGATAAACTTGCAACATTACAGAATGTGAACCAGCAAAATGCCAACCAGCAGCAAATCACCATTACACAACTAACCAAACTGCAAGGCGAATTACCTATGGAAAAACTAGAACATGTATATCAGTGAGATCAGATACAGAGCATTGTAAAGAGGCTTGCCTCTTACCAAAGCAATCGATGTGAAACCAAAGTGATCCACCCTTTTGCCTGTCAACAAGAAATCTACAAAGGGCCCCACTAGCAGAAGGGATCCTGCTTGGGCTGGAGCAGTGTGACCCAGGAGGTTGAATGAGTTCAGAGAGTACTTTCGTTGGAGAAAATGAACATACTGCAAAGGAAAATAGAAGAGTTAAAATTGTATTGTCTATGCGTCCAGGTAAGGAAAAGAAATTAAGGTGCTATTTGGCTATAACTTAAGAAATGACAAAATCAAACAATGATTAAGGAGTGCCAATTATTCATAACTAACAAGGACTACAGGGAACCAACAATGATTCAGGGAGTGCCATCTGCCAATTATTCATCATTCGTCAATAAGCAGACCCATAGATAAGCAGAGTCATTGTTGTGCCACCATGCAATAATTTCTCCCCCGTAAAAATGTTTATGGTTGCCAAAGGACAGCTATAGGAATAGAAGGCAGTATTATCTCATAGCAGATAAATGGGACATAACCATACAAGTACAACATAGGTTGGTTTAACTTACATATTGTTGCAAAGCTGTGCTCCAAACAGCTATAACAGCAGCAGCCAGACCTTTTGCATTTACACTGACATCAGTAACTGTGCAGACCGCAACACCTATAAGCACAACCATTATGCTCAGCTTTGTGTCCCGAGAATAATGTACATGATCGAAGACAACCTCCAGGAGACATGATGCAGGTATCATGCAGAGCTTTGCTATCTGAAGAGAACAAAAGGATTCTTTAGCTTTTGAAACTTGAAAGTTCAAAGCCATGATGGAATTTAGCTAGCAGAACCATCCTTTGCTAACCTGATAAAACCCCACAGAGTTCCACATCAAGCTCACATTCATTCCAACAATCGACAAGTTCGAAAAGATCACAAATTTAATCAGATCTGGCAGTGGTAAGTGGGAGGGCTGGCTGAGGCCTAACCACCGAAACACGATAGTCATCAAGGTGGTTGTCACAAAATGAAGGCCAGTTAAGGTTGTGGCTGCAAAACACAGAACATAATCAGTTACATGGCATGGCAGGAGATAATTCCATTATCATACAAATGAAACATGTTGAGGGGCAGCCCATAAATCTGGTTGGATATAAGAAATCAGATAAGTTACAATGCTCCCGGTGTTCCATTAAGGTCCTTTTCATGTTCAGAAGGCAGTGTGGCAACTTGTGACAAAAAAAAAAGTTCTGATCATAGGCTCATAGCAGCTAGAACAGAGTGGCTTTGAGAGTCCAGAGGATACCTCATAGCTCATATTTAACTCGTGTTAGATCACAAAAAAAGCAAGCCTATCTGGTGAACCTTTTTGGCATCATTAGATTAGGCATACAAGTTCAGTTAAAGATTTATCGATCGTCTAGAACTCAAATGATTGGAATTTGTGCTAGCATTGCGAAAATAAATGACTGAAGGTTTACAGATGCCTGTTAGTCAGTTGATCAATTGCATGTCCAAAGGAACAAACATCTGGAGTCTACAATTACTACACAAGATCTAGTAATATTTATTCGTTCAATATTAAATCAAACAGGATACTGCTAGTTTGTCATTCAGAACACGGAGTAAGCCTAGAATAAAACATCATCATCACAAAATAAAGAACCAAGATATCTGAAGGTAGCAAGTAACACACACACCGAAACTGAATCCATGCGTAGCCATCAGAGCCTTGTTGACCATGATGATTCCAACAGACGTGGTGATGTTGAAACTCCATGCCGCAAAATCCAGCACCTTCTTCTTGTCGGATTTGCTCAGGGAAGAAGCCATTTCGCTCGAATTTCCTCCAGACTTGAACAAATCAACACCCAACACTTGGCACGGGCGGGCGGACCTAACAAAATTTTTTGGGAGAAAAACAAAGAACAGCAAGCATTACTACCAAGGTTATGACAGAGAGAAAAAGCAGCTTCTAGATCTAGAAGAGAAAGAAGATGAGGTGCGGGTAGAACGAGGGAGATGAGAGAAGAAGAGGCAGGGGGGAAGGGGGGGGACGTGGGTAGGGGCGGGTGCTTACCGGCGGCAGCCACCGCTGCTCGCCGGATGGAGCTCGTCGGCGGCGGCTGGCGATGGCGAGGCCGAGGGGCCTTTTCGTTTTTGTTTTTTTTTTCTTTTCTTTTCTTATTATTTTTGCAGCGAAAGCCACTCTCTCCCAGATCTGCCCCTATGATGTCTGAGGGCTATTTGTACTATGTTTGGTTTGAAATTTTGATGGAAATTTGATTAAAGAGAAACTGGATCACACCACATGCGTTGCTGGGAAGTTTATATAAAAAAACAAATATTTTCTCTAGGTTGATTATCTTATCGTTTTTATAAAGACATGTCTAAAAACAATTTTAACCACTACTTATTATTATTATAATATATATAAAAGTATGTGCCAAATGCAGCCTCGATCTGAAGATAAGTTATTATGCCCTCCTCCTATGTGTGCAAAGTCAATACTCGCTCTGTCCCAAAATAAGGCTGTGTTTGAGGGAGAGGGGATTGAGAAGATTGGAAAGATACGCAAAACGAGGTGAGCCATTAGCGCATGATTAATTGAGTATTAACTATTTTAAACTTCAAAAATGGATTAATATGTTTTTTTTAAAAGCAAACTTTCATATATAATTTTTTTTTTCAAAAAACACATCGTTTAATAGTTTGGGAAGCGTGCACGTAGAAAACGAAACAAACAAACTCCCTTTGTTCTCCAAACGAACGCAGTCAAATGCAGTTTTGCACTGTTCGCGTCTAACGTTTGACCGCTCATCTTATTTAAAATTTTTCTATGATTAGTATTTTTATTGTTAGTGCATGATAAAACATAAATAATACTTTATGTGTGACTATTTTTTTAATATTTTCATAAATTTTTCAAATAGGATAGATGGTCAAACGTTCAACACGGATTCCCACAACTGCACTTATTTTGTGACGGATGTAGTACTCTTTAAGATAAACCACCATTGCCAACTTAAAGTTACTATGGGGTTGTTTGGTCCTTTACCTTATAATCTTTGGTAGCGCCAAATTTTCACTATATTGGCACTACCAATTCTTTGGTAGGGTAGAGATACATGGTACATATTTGAATTGCTACCAATTAGTGCCAAATTGTTAATGAGCATTATCAATTATTTGGCTTCATCCAAACATACACTATCACTATTCAAGATGCCAATAAATTGATAAGTTCACATTTTTTTGGCTTCAATAAAAAATAGCCCTATTCCTTGAGAGCGAGGAGACAGCAGATGGAAGTTGAGAGGTCGCTGCATCAGATCTGGTTCTTCCTCTTAGTTTCTGTGGTGCTGTGCCTCAAGGGGCGGAGCCCAATAGGCCCGAGGGGGGTTCCCAGGAACCCGGCCCAAATTCTGAAATACCTTGTTACCCCTATAAATTCACCACATGGGCACCCCCTCAGCCCAAAACCTGGAACCCCCTCCTCCTTCGTCTGGCCCAAAACAAGGCCCATCGCTGTGTATTTATTAGAGACAGCCCAACTGAGAGGAGAGGAGGAATCGCGCACGTGGTTGGATCGACAGTTCGACACGGCGTAGCGGCGGCATCGTTTCATCTCCCAAAATGAAGCGCGTGATTCGGTGATTGTTTCTTTCTCCTCGTCCGTCGCCGCTCCTGCTCGCCTGCTCCGCGTGACTCCGCGACCGGCGACCACGCCTGACATCTCCGACTACATCCCGTCGTGCGCACGTCGCCGTTCGCCCGCGGACCGCCACAGCCCGTGCTCAACGCGGCGACCGCCCGGCGCTCGCCTGCCGACGCCGCCCGTTTCCCACGCACTCCGGCGACTCCGCGACCTATGACAGCCCTAAATCCTATCATCCAATCCACCACTCCGTAAGTCATGTACCCCTGCTTCTTCCCTCTTCCAATTTTGCTAGTTTACCACTGATTTAATCTTAATTTTCTTGCTTGCTTTTGCGATGAACGCAGCCATGCAGGGCAGTCTGGGCAGTGGCAGCAGCAAGCTGGCCGGCAATGGCTGGATCCACGAGCTCGCCGGTTTGCCCTCATTGACTCGTCAAATCTGCCTAGTGACCACAAGTGCTTCTATCAAAAATCACATCCGATAGCCACCACTTACAGCAAGTGGTTTATCGGTTCATGAATATAACCACCGCAAATTTGATAAATATCAATAGATAACTGTTTTTATTTATGTCAAATCATTTCATGACTTATTGTTTGTTGATAACTAAACTATGCCTCTCTTTTTTAAGGTGATTGTTGCATGGAGGAATGAAAATGGTGACATCACATTTTGCATGATATATTCATTTGTTTTGGGTATGGAGCCCATGACACATTATTAACTTCATATATATTATTATCAGTTGGTTTCTTCATTATGGTACGTATTTTTTTTAATTTTTCCATGCACTTTTTCATATATTGTTATTAATTAGGGAGATGATACTTATATGTATTGGGTATGCAACTATTTAGTATAATATTGTTGAGCTATACATGTCGATATTAAGCAAAGAAAGTTAGGAACCCTCTCGTTTTTTCTCTAGCTCCGCCCAGTGCCTGTGCCTGCTCTTGTTCTGTCTATTACTTTTGTAAATACGGGAAGGCAAGACACTAATGGGTGGGTGCATATGGTAAAAGAGGGCTTCGCATCCTCTGCCGTTCCAACTGAAATGGCATAGAGCTACAGTGTCAAGCCGTTGGGGCATTTATATCTGTTGGATAAGTTTTGGATGTTCGAGATTAAACGCTACAGTAACGACGAAAATAAGCAAAAACATTTTTTACTGTAGCTACAGTTTTCATTGCATCAGCAGCATGTTACTGTAGCTTCCTCACGTTTCACTGTGCGCCTCTGCCGTTCTCCCCCCAACGGCACAGGATGGGAACCCGGTAAAAGAGGGGTGGTTAACACTGTGTTGGTCTGCAATAAGCATGCTGATGTAGATAGAGATGTAATGTGACAAGACTAGAGGTTAAATGCACATTTCATTCTTCTCTTGTCTAATATCAGGAACTGTGTTGCCTCGTCCAAACCATCTGAGCTTTGGTCTGTTTTGGTTTGCCTTGCACCTGTCCCTTACTACTTTACTGTACTTAAACGCAATTTGTATTATTAGATGGTGCCAGAATTATTTAAACGTAGACTTGTGATAACATGCCACTGATGGAATCATTTCAGGCTTCAGAGCGCGTCTATCATCATGGCAAATTTTAAAATGGGTAAACACCGATTAATTGAATTTTATGCCCCCAAACCAGGCAAATTAAAGTGACTGACTGTATTGAAGTTCAAAAATTACATTTCGTTCGTAAGATTGCAGCTTTGCATTTCATAAAATGGTTAGCATCTTGTCCATTTCACAAAACGTGCTTTGTCACGTTTGCGGCAGAGTCTCAGATGAAGAATGCAGTAATACATTGCACGTAAAAGGCCAGTAAACCTAGCGAGACATGGATGCACTGATAACTTGATCCACTTTCAGAATGAAAAGAAAAAAAAATCACGGCGTTTACATAAGCTTCATTTGCTGTACCAATCCAGAAAGAGGACGGAAAAGGTAAGAACAAAGAAGAAAAGCAGGAGGAAGGTTCTACTGCTGCTGTTGCGCTGGATCGCCTGGGATAGCTCCTTGTTCCCACGCTCCACATTGTTTGTAGCTTCAACTGCCTGAGAAGAAGGCATATAGCACAATTGGACCTCCCGAGTCATCAGTTAAAGATCTTATACCCCCTCCATTCTATAATATAAGGCACAACCACTTTTCTTAGATGTTTCATAATATAAAGCATGCATGCAAGCATGCAATTAACTATAACATCTTCTCCATTAAATTATTACTTTTTTAAATCCTCCACTCCCATGTTATCTAATCCTATTGGATGCATGCATTATACTCCCTCCGTTTTTTAATAGATGACGCCGTTGACTTTTTCTTACATGTTTGACCATTCGTCTTATTCAAAAATTTTATGCAAATGTATAAGATATAAATCACACTTAAAGTACTATGAATGATAAAACAACTCATAACAAAATAAATTATAATTACGTAAATTTTTTGAATAAGACGAAGGGTCAAACATGTGAGAAAAGTCAACGGCGTCATCTATTAAAAAACGGAGGTAGTATTTATTAGGATGATCCAAACTACAATATGATAATAATTATTTCTTAGTCTTTGGGTTAAGGGTGGTTGTGCCTTATATTTTGGAATGGAGGGAGTACCTTATTTCGTTAGATGGTATTATAAAGAGGGAAATGCAAAGTAGAGACCATGCTAGTTATTCAGAAAAGGGAAATTTAATTTAATGAGGGAAATGTGTGTTCCATGGATCCCAATAAAAAGATCAGTGGATGATAATAGATGACAGACACATCATGTTTATCAGTACATCAGCAAAGGAGTGTCATTTATATTTTTTCCACGAATATCTACATGTATGTTCACATAAGAAGACAATCTACAAGAAAGAAATAACAGATACGGTGTACTGGCTTAAATAGATTTTCTACCTGGTCATATAAATACTGTATCTGCTGAGCTTGTTGTAGAACATGTGTTGACATGAGATGATTAAGTGCTGACATCTCTATCATCTTTGTCTCTGTTTCTTGGACAGCATCAAGAAGATTTGTCAACTCCACCTAAGATACGAGTAAAAGGATGCAAATAATTAATCATGCATGACAATTCACTAGAATTTCATCAGCATAATACATATACACCAAAATATTACCTGAAGAGCTCTTGTTTCATCATCCAAGAGTTGTTCTTGAACTCTTAGTGGTGCAGTAGAGACCTCCTGATCTTCAACCTTTGAAACATCAGATTTTAATACAAGGTTTGGCTTAGATGGTTCAGCAGCTTTGGTTTCTCGTTTCTTCTGAATCCGTTTTCTTGGCATCGCTCTGTTAATAGCATCTTGAAAACGCATGGTCCGAAGACGATCAAATTGTGCAGTTACTGAGTGAAGACGCTCACTCAAAATCAAAACCTGGTGAAATTATATGGAAAACACACAGCTTAGCAAACATGACCATGTAATTTGCATAAATTCGTACTAAGAAAGCAACATGGCCATGTGGTTGCCTATACTAGCAGCACTGAATCAGAAAACAAAATTTCACATTGTTCAAATTCACCTATTTTTACAGGATGGTTGCAGCATGGCTGTTTTGTCGTATCTAATGTCCAATAATAGCAATAAACTAAGGTATGGATATCCTGCTACCAGCTACCCACATCATCCAACTTCATCAGGACAATAAATGCTGGACCTGTCAATTCTTCTATTTAAAGGATAATACTCAGATTTATCTGTGTGTTAAACAACTTGTCTCAGTAAAAGATAATTTTGTGCAAGGGGAGAAGATAAATTATCCACAAGGAGTTGATTAGTTTAAAATATATATATACAAATTACAAACTGTATTAACAAATAATAATGCCCGGAATATCTGTAAAATGGAAAATGAAGTAGCAAACATATATCAGAACAAATGAGATTTTACTGGTACAATCCTCCATGTGCAGATATTGAAAACACAAGAGTGCTACTGCATTTTGTATTGGAAATTAGCAAAATAGTTGATCCATGGCAAGAATAAGAAGGCATACCACACCATGCTGGTGAGCTATCAAATCCAACCGGGAGCTCTCATCGCTTGTACCAAGCCATGTCTTTGTACTTCCACCTTTTTCTTCATGGATCCTGTTCTTTAGGATATCTATTTGTTCCTTGCATGCTTTTACAAAAACACTGACCTAGACAGATAAAAAGTTGAGAAGACATGCCTAATCCATAGCCGAAAATTGCCAAAAAAAAATGCACACATTTTACCAGTATGAATATATCAGGATGCGATAATAGTATTAGTACCAAAGAAAGATACTCCAATGCAATGTCAAACAAACCTTAGTATTAGATTTTCAATAAACTCATCCACCATGTTGCAAAGTATATGTTTTAACATGATTGCAGTGTAGTGTTGATGTCCTAATGTAACCCCGTCGGAAAAGAAAGAGTAGTTCAACAAAATTTTCAATGAACTCATCCACCAGGTTGCAGAGTACGTTTTAACATGATAGCAGGTTACGGTAGATGTCCATAATGCTCGTAGGAAAAGAAAGAATAAAATCAACAAGTAACCACTATTCACCTCATGCTCAATGTTGTCCCTTTCTTGCTCCGTGGTGCGATGCATGTCAACATAGTCCTTCCTATGCTTCACAATAAACTTCTCCAGTTCCCTGATACTCTCAAGCTACACGAAAACAAACCATAAATATAGTAGCAAGCTACCATACCAAATCATCACCACAGCATTGCAGCAAAGACAGAATTCGTACCGTCTTGATTGCAGCCTTTGTAAAGGGTAATTTGGGGGGCGGCTTCCGGATGATGAAAGAAGACATGAGCGCGGCTAACTGAGACTGTCAGAAGGAAATCAACACAAGGGTGGATCAACAATATTCTTTCAGGCGATATCTGTGATAGCTTCCATTCCAGCGAAGATGGGGGAGAATGCCGCGCAATCGCGCCGCCGTTGAGCTCACCTCCGTGTACCCATGGCCGAGCGCGGCGACGCGGACGGACTCCTTGAAGTCCTCGGCCCTGTCGCGAACCCTCGACATCGCCAACGCAGAGTAGCAGCTAACGCCTACGGCTTCCTCCTGTCAGATCTCATCTCTCCGCGCAGCACTGATTCGCGAGCCGGCGAGAGGGGAAGAGAGGAGAGCTCGCCTCCTCGCTTTCTCCGCGTCCACCTTGAAGCCCACCCTCGGCGACGGCGACGGCGACGGCGCAAGGGGGAGGCGGCGGCGGCGGTGCGAGGGGGAGACGAGAGGGCGGCGGAAGAAAATTTCATAGGACTGCGGTCCTTTGCTCCTAGGAAAGACTTTGTCTCCTATGCGACACGTGTCCAATTGGAATTTCAAAGCAAGGCTTCCACTACACTATTCACCCAAATACTATTAACTGACGCCGCCGTTATAGCATGTGTAGTGCGTACCTCTAACTTGTCACCCCAGAGCACGCCGTCCATCGCCATGAGTTTTTCCGCCCGCGTCGTCCCCTCACGAGTCGTCGCGCGCCCTGGTTGGGGGACGCGGCTCTATCTCCTTTTCGGCCAGGGGACATGCGCGAGGGACACAATGCGGGGACGGGCGCCACAGGCGACGATCTCTCCAGCTACCATATTCCCCTTCCACCCCTCTCCCCTCTCTCTCTCGCGTGCCCGTTCCCCTCGAGAATGTGGGGGTATTTTGGAAACTTTTCACATGAGGCTTCTTTGGGCTAGGATACGCACTGTGGATTAGAGTACCTTTAGCCAGTTTCTTCAAATTTTGAAGAGTCCATCTAAGTGTGGCTTTGGTCACAAGATGAGTGCCCTTGAGAGTGCCCTCAGTTAGTGAGGACACTCTAGGGGTGGCTTTGGTTGTACATGCCCTTATGTCCTCCTCTTCTTGGCTTGGTCTTCGTGGGCAGTGATAGGCATGAAGCACCACGGCGGCGGCAGCGGTGGCGGCGGGCGCTAAATGTGGTGGCTCCCTGTGTGCGCGAACACGTGAGGCGAATCTGTGTAGCGGCAGCTTGTGACATAAGGGTGTCCTTACGACCTTGCTTGAGTTGGGGCGTTCAGGCAAGGCAAGACGAAGCTCGATAAACTACACTACGGTCATGCTTATCGATGTATTAGGGTGTTAGCTAAAATTGGTTTAAACCTGGAAAGCTAGCCATGCATGGTGTGCAAGATTGCAAATTCTCCGTGTATAGTTGGAAGTCTTGTTCATAACGTCTTGCAAATTCTCCATGCATGAATTAGGATCAAGCACGAAGGCCCGGTTACTTCGTTGCACCTAGTCGTCTCCCGCGTGGGAAGAAGACGACGACTAGGTCTAACGGCATCGTGCGTGAGATTAGTAGGGACAAAGGAGGGGTGCTTTGAGAATATAACCTAACACGTGTCATGTGCAGGGACAAAGTCCTTCGGATGAGCGAAGGACTATTGTCCTATGCAATTTTCTTCCAACGGCGATGGTGGCTAGGGTTAGTGGGTGTCGTTTTGCGAAAACGCCTCTCGTCTGCCAATCTTTTACAGCTCGATTCTAATTTGCGATTTTTCTCTCCTTCACATAGAATATTCGGTCTTTCGAAGGGTTTCTCTACGTAAAACATTGGCTTCAAACTACACAAAAAGCAAAGGCTATTGTAGAAAAAATCCGACGTTCTCGCCCCTTCTGTGCACCTTAATATTCTCCGATAACTGGAAATCCCGTGCCAACTACTAACTAGTAAAAGACTGTCGACGTTTGATGTCGCGGTTCCGGTATTTGCATAGTATGGGGATTGTTGGTACTAGGATATACGCGAGACTGAGGTAAAAGAGATGGAGACAGGGATTTTTATACAGGTTCGGGCCCCTGAATTGTCAGGTAATAACCCTACATCCTATTGGCTGAAGCCGGTATTGCTCTTATTCACCATAATCACACTAGTACAATATTTGGGGTAGCCTATCTAACTGTTGTCAACATGGCGGTCTGAAGGTTTGACTCGTAGTTGACAACAGGGTGGTCTTCCTCCTCGAGTTCGTGCCCGGCGAGATAAGAGACAATGCTATGTCTCTCCTGACAGTATCCAGAGACACCGTAGGGGACTAGCCGTGCTTATCCCTGAAGTCGATATCCGACGTCTTATCTTGGCGTATGTTGGCTTGTATGTTGATCTTCTGTCTTGATCTATTGTTCCGTAGATTGTGGTGGATGTGTCTGTTGATTGTCCCCTCTCCTCCTAGGGGGCCTTGTATTTATACCCATAAGTGTCTCCTTGTCCAAGTAGAACTAGGGAAACCAATATGGATACAATCCGAGTAGTCCTTGTCGTTTCCATGTAGAACTCTGGTTGTCTTTTCTTATTCGGAACTCCTCCTATATCTGCAGGTTGTTTCCGTATAGGACATAGTATGTGGTGGGTACTGCCGAGATTTAGTCAACTATTATTAGGTATGTGGTATCCATAACCCTGACAGTAGCCCCCGACTTCGATGCAAATGAACGAATTCATATTCTCAACCGCGCGCAGGCCTTGGAGTAACTGTTATCGAGCTCATGTGACCGTTCTCGGTGAGTTCAGAGATAACGTTAGACTTCCTTTATCAGTCTCGTGCGGGCACCTAAAGGGTTTGTCTGAGTCAATCTCCGACGCCAACCAAAAAAGTACAGAACATGCGACTAAGTCTCCCGTCTTGCTGTAATCGAGAATTTGGATTGAAGTCAAGAAATTTTATCTCGGCGGGTACACCATTTCTTCATTTCGTATTCCTTGTCGAGATCCACCAACCGTTCTCGAGCGATCGAGAAGGCGTAGAATCTGCACCGAAGCCTTGTCAACATTTGTCGTACTCGCCTTAGTCGATCTTGGTGTAGAACCATAGAGACATGGAGCCTTAGATAATGTCGAATAGAATTTTCCTGAAATCAATACTCAGAAAAGAATATTAGATAGAAATAGCCCCCGAGCGAACGCTCAAAGGGTAACATGTTATAGAATGTATGGAAAACCGAAAATGAATTAAACTTACAGACCAATGTTTTGTATATGAGCATCTACTCTTTTACCGACTTCGATCAGTCAGTTTGTTGAGTTATACACTCTCCCTAGCCCCCAGCCTTCTCATCGGAGAATTGTTCTCGGAAGATAAGACTCTTGGACCTTTTACCTGCCTCGGTTGAACAAGCACTGATCCTAGCCCCTAGCCGTGAAGTTAGAAAACCCAATTTCCGATTACACGGCTTGGTTAATACGCACGGCGAGAACTCTTACACGACCAGATCTTACATGGTCTTTCGTCTCTGAAGGATCCGACAAGGCCTTATCCGCTCTGGGCGTCCCCAGCCGAAGTTCTCTTAGGTTCCTCGGAGGCCTTGTCAAGACAGCGTAAAGGGACATTAGGATAGGTTTCAACGCTAGGTGTCTTTGTGGTAAGGGATCTCTGGGTAAAACACTTGGCATTATTGTGTACCTGATATCAACTTTGTTGAAGTAGAGGTAATGGGAGAATCACTACACCTCTGGTCAAGAACCAGGTAGTAGACGTAACTCAACCACTAGAAGTAAATGTACGAGAGATCACTACGATTGACTGGTTGAGAACCAGTGAGTAGGTGTCTCTCGATCATTTGCAGTCGTGGTGCGAGGACCGCTGCGTTATTGCTGTAGTCGTACCTCGACCATTTGAGGTTGTGGTGCGAGGGATTGCTACGTACTAGCTCGAGGACCAGCGAACGAGTAGAATTATCTCTCGAACACCAATGGAGGTTGCGGTGCAAGAGAGTGCTACATACTGGTTCGAGGACCAGCGAACGTGTAGAATTATCTCTCGAACACCAATGGAGGTTGCGGTGCGAGAGATTGCTATGTACTGGTTCGAGGACCAGCGAATGTGTAGAATTATCTCTCGAACACCAATGGAGGTGCTAGAGTTGGTTTATTACATGTGCGTCTCATGTGGCCAGCATGACTCACACACCCAACTTGTAGCATATCTGGATGTCCGTTCGCAATCATGTCGGGTGATCAAGCCGACGGCGTTTGCGAGGAATTATCCGTTAACAACCTTTTCTCGAGTAGTCCAGCCATGGCCGGTGCTATGAGATAGGTAGTCGGTCTTTGTTGGTAGGTTGGGCGCGACGACTCTGCATTCGTCGAGATCGTTCTCGATAATGTAGTGTACTTGACCACAACCTACTCGAGTGCTCAATTGTTCTTGAAAAATATTTTCTAGAAGGCAAGACATATAGTAGATAATGTCGAGTATGTATTCGAAAAACTGCATGGATCTTTTAGTATTATCAGGATATAACGAGCAGATGTAAATATCAGGCATTATGTAAACCGTAAACAAGCATGATTTATACGGAAGGAAATAGAGCGAGCCCCCAGCGTTAGATTGTAGTCGATTTAACACCGGGGACACTCACGCAATAGATATTGTATAAAATACATGCTCTAGATAAACATAATAAATTTTGGATCTGACAATATTGTATAGTCTGAAAATAGGTACGGAAAATTTTATATAAAATAATGCGTACCTGTGTAGATATATGCCGGATATATCTACGAAATTAGTAGATTAATTAAAAAAATTAATATACTAACTTGATGGACACGTACTGTATGAATACGTGTGTTTTTTTTCTTTCCTCCCAGTTGTCCATGTGCATGCTCAATCATGGGCATGCAGTAGCTGTTGTCGTGTCCGACTTGATTACTTGTGGTTAGGTCGTAGGAGCACGACTAGTTTGCATGGGAGTCCAATGTAGTACTCCGTATCTAATTGTTGTCCGAGGTTGAACAAAGTTGCATATCCTCGCCGGCCGTAACTTTGCTGTTTTTTCTAGGGACGCCGCGTTGGAGATCGAGTCAACCAAGGATGAGGAAGGCTGAGTCGATGTCCGCCGCAGCGGTAGCGACGTCTTGAAGCTATCTATCTCGAAGGACCGAATTTTCGGTTATGCTTCCGATCTCGTCGGAAGACATACTCCGGTCAGGTTAGATCTTCCATAGCCGAAGTCGTCGAGTAGCTTGTTGTTGAAGAATCCATCTCTTAAACCTATCTCGTCTAAATCCTGAAGCACCAAAATCCCCCTACCTGGCGCGCCACTGTCGATGTTTGATGTCGCGATTCTGGTATTTACATAGTATGGGGATCATTGGTACTAGGATATACGCGAGACTGAGGTAAAAAAGATGGAGACATGGATTTTTATATAGGTTCGGGCCCCTGAATTGTCAGGTAATAACCCTACATCCTGTTGGCCGAAGCCGGTATTGCTCTTATTCACCATAATCACACCAGTACAATATTTGGGGTAGCCTATC